ACTATGGTACATGTGACTAACCACTCTTCGATTAGTCATGGACACTTCTCTGTAGTATATAAGAACTTCAGATTGTGTCCTCCCTCTTCAGTCTTTCCTTACTGACTGAAGAGTGAGTACTTCGTTACCTTTACCTCTAACTTGTAGTTACTTACTTAACCTTTGTAGTCTTGCTTCGACTCTAGGTACAGTTCGTTGCTGCAATATAGTCTTTCCTTACTGACTGAAGATCTTGCTTCGACTCTAGTCGGATCTAATCTTTGTCTTCACAGCCCCGAGTTTATCAAGAACATCTAGATGCGCATGATCAGCCAACAGCACGAGCGACGGTGGTGAGTCCGCATAAGCCGACGGACGCACTTGGTCCAACAAGAATGCAACGATAGTTGGGGGCTTCGCGGTGACCTGGCGCGGGAAGTCGAGTGCCCTGAGCAGAGGTGGAGCACGGAGGAAGGCTGGGAAGAGCGCGAGGAAGCTGTGCAGCTGCGACATCGAAAGGAGCTTCGTCGGATGCATGTAGTACCAGTGGCCCAGCTCGTGTGCTAAGTGCTTGATGTGGAAGTAGTGGGGTCTGAGCAACGATTAGGACGGGAAAGAACGTGGACGCACTGAGGACTGCTTCGACCTCTTCAAACTTGCTCTGTATGATGAATGTATCAAAGATGACGATGTACTTGCTCTACATATGTTCAGCCGCCAATCAGCACTCCGATTCCACGGTACCACGACAACGCAGCTTACCCAATGCAAGTGCAAACCACGCTAAGTTAGCTGTCTACAGGTAGTTTCGTTTACTCAAAGCCTAAAATGATTGCTAGTCACGCCTCCGGACAGACTCCGGATACACATCTATTCGCAGTTACTCGCCCCTGAAACAGGAGGGCCTCAAACGCGGTGCGAGTCAGGAGGATTGAAGGAGGGACAGACAGGGATACATGTGTTTGCCTCGCGTGAGCAGAGTTGGTCATGTACACAAGCCATCGGCCCTAGTCTTGCTGTGACCGCAAGAACACGTAGGCTTTCCGGCTGTTTCAACCGCGATGAGTGTTCCAGTCTCGTCAGCGGGCTACACTCGTCGATGGGACACGATCGCGGGGCTCAGGACTTGCGAGGGTTGAGCCAGGAGACCCCACGTAGCCATGCTCGGACGCGGTGGAGGCCAAGCCCCTACAAAGAAAGCTACAAACAAGGACAAGCGAGCAAGAGGAGGAGGTGATGAGTGCGTCGGGCGAGCGGCCCGTAGCGAGAGCGCCTACGGGCCGCTCGAATGGACCTTTGGCGCCGGCCTCTCTCGCATTCCGCCGGCCCCCATACTCAGACGATAGGTATGTAAAAAACATCGGAATGCCTGCCGTGCAGTCCCGCAGGTGCGAGTCAAGCTCGGGTGAGCAATTCTCCAGTTTTCTGATATCAGTTGCAGTTTCTAGACGTCTTATTGGAAGAATAGCCACCGACCCTTTCTGACCAAGCCTTACGCTAGTACGCGGGCACCGGAATCATCATAAGAAGCTGCTCAAGCTCTCTCGGCGACATCAATTTTGGCCTGAGTCTGGAAACCGATGACACCTCACAACGTGACGATCGAGCTTGTCGAGAGGCTGACAGGTTGGCAGACCACCTTCGCACCCCTGTGCCAGTGCAGTGGTCTCATGGCTCTAACAATGCTCTAGAGCCGCTCACCGAGGAGGCCGTCCAGCTCTTTACGAGCTTGGTGGTAGGATGTGAGTGCGAGGCCAACCTAGTGCATGCTACTGTCGAGTTGACAATTCATGTGCAGATCCGTGTATGATGGCCCTCACTGGCGGAGCCTGGAGCATTCTCCCGGACTTTGGCAGGGCCACAGTCCGCTCCCTCGTCTTGTGTCCGGGGGCATCGCACATGTTCACCGCGCGGGACGAGACCGGGTCCTTGGTCGGCTTTGCCCTGTTTTCACTCCCTGGAGAGCCGTCCATGTACGTCTGTTGAGTTTCTGCGTTCTTGTGGTGAGGGTTCTAGCTGTATTCGGATAGGCAGGGAACACATGAGAAGGATGACATGTCGGAGTAATGAGCAAGCTGTCGCCGGAAGGGAGACAGTACTTCGCAGAGGTGAGGAGTGTAAACGTTGGCCGCTTCAATCAAGTTGACGCATCTTGTCACTTGCGTTTATCAAGATAGGGAAGGACATTCCACGATCCAAGGACAAACTGTTTGGGATTGAAGCCGCAGAGCGTAACACGTATTGGTGCAGTCGCGCAATGGTGCGTGCCGATTATCAGGGAAAGGGCGTAGCGAAGGCGATGTTCGAGATTGCGTTTGGGGAGGTGTGCAATCCATACTTGACATATACATACCGTGTCGCGTACGGGCCTGACACACATGCGGAATCCACGCAGCGAAGACTGGAGCTACAGTGACACTGACCACAACAAACATCCGGAACGTATGTGTCATTAGAGATTCAGAGCTTCCTACAAGCAGCGGATGATCATCCTCAAACAGGTACCCGTTTACGAGAAGATCCATGGGTGGCGCCTATCACCCGAATTGGTGAGTCGTAACGGGGGGACAGAAGGACCGCAAGCTGCTTACTCGAACATAGCGGTCACATAGTGCGCCAATCGTCTCTTGAATTCTTGCGGATCCAATGGTTCCTCAACGTAGCACCCACAAAACCTAAGTGCGTCCAATGGCATGTTCGTCGCCACTCGGCGCTCGAGCAGGTCGATGATAGCGTCTGTCAGCGCCGCGTCGATGTCGAGGTAGTGGAGCTCAAGAAGGCGGACTGTACTCGAGCACGGGGCTCGTAGGGCATCAAAGAGGTTTCGGAGGCTCGGGAGCCCGCTTGAGGGCGCATATCGGAAGCTGGCCTGGAGGGTATGGAGGGGAAAGCGCTCAAAGAGCGCAATCCACATGGGGTAAGAGATGTTCCAGTCCAGATAGCAGTATATCCTGATACATGTCAGCGGCGAACTTGCAAATGCGCCAAGCAAGGTCGTCCAAGTGTCCTCGGTGACGATGGTTCCGATAGTGAGAGGCTCGCCGGAGATTTCAAGGTGCGTCCAGCGGTCCCCGTCGTCAAGCATACCGTACAGACCGATACGGTGATTGGCAAAATGAAGATAGAGGGCGGTGTAATGGGGAATCAGATTCTGGAAGGCCAGCTGATAGGGATATATTGACCTGATGGGACTGAGGAAGCCGGAATGTCGGTCACCGATATACTTGACATTGACAGTACATGTGGAGGGAACGATGATCCTGTCGAGCACGTATATGACTTCGCGAGGGGACCCTACGAGTTCCAGCGCTTCGAGGCGTGCGAGTAATATCGTACCGTACGCGTCATGCGGAGGCTCAAGACTGGGTGCTAGTTCTGTGTAGCTGGTTTTGAAGATCCGTAAATGAGGAGAATTTTTCATGAGACGTAGGGTTGCGGCGACGGAGGGACCTGTCTCGGTGGCGCTCAACTGGATTACTACCTCCAGGTTTGTCAACGAGAAGGTTTCCCATGCTGGATGAGCATCTCTGAGAGTCAAGGAGCGCAAGGAAGGGAAGTGACTTGGAGAGAGGCAGAGCTCGTCGTCAACGGGGCGACTGCCTGACAAACGGTCGTAGTAGCAACAGAATAGCTGGGCTTCCTTCAGGACATCGAATCGGCCGGGAAACTGGGCTAGTACCGAGGAGGGTGGCTGGTCAAACGTCCACAGCTCTAGTCGACGGACTCTATGAATCAGAGGTCGGATCGCAATGACTGCGGCCTCGAGGTCCGCATCCTTATCATCAAGCTTTACTTGTAGAGGCGTCTCTCCGGAACGTTCCAGGAATGTGGTGAGCCAGGTCGTGTTCTTCCACCAGCCAGAGTCGACAATCGACGCCCACAGTGTAGGACAATCGAGAGCAACGCAACGCCAGTAGCGGCACACCCACGTAACGCGAATCCATGTTGCTGCTGCTTTGGGTGTGGTACCGGAGCGGCCAGGCAATTGGGGCCAGCCCAGCAAGAGCTGTAAGACTTGGAAGATGTACGCCAGCAACTCCAGTGGAAGCCTATCGACGCTGGCCGCCTAGCAAAGAAGCGATCGATCAGTGTTACATCTGAGCACGCGATCGCGACAGAGAGTTTCGTACTGAATTTTCCGCATCCCTGAGAGTAACAACCGTGCCTTCGATATGCATAGATGAGCTACTGCCCGTTCGCAGGTCCGTGACTGATAGCTTGAGTTGGAGCCAGTTGTCAGACTTGATGGCTTTTGAAACCAACAATAGGGGTGGTCAGAGTGCACGATTACGGGGCGATTCTGGGACGATTCTGGAGGACGATTCTGGAGGTGATTTTGTTCTCAGAATCGCGATTTTGGCAGAATCGCGCAGAATCGCAGAAGCTCCTCCGGAGGAGCTTCTGCCCTCCAGAATCGCGATTCTGCTGTCCGCGATTCTGCCTCCCCCAGAATCCTCCCCAGAATCGCGACCATAATCGTTCCCAGAATCTTCCTTCGGTATGGGGTGGTCAGAGTAGGCCGCGATTTCGACACGATTCAGATATCAAGAATCGCCTCAGAATCGCTTGGAGAATCGCTTCAGAATCGCGCACTCTGACCTCCCCTAATAAGCATCAGGTTTGGATGCTCACCTAGGGAACAAGTTGCATGTGTAGACGTCACGGGAGGGACCTCGAGCGGCAAGCCGGACCGGCCATGCCAGCGCGGCGAGATGACATAGTTCAAGTTGGCGCCCCAGATGTACGTGTCGTTCGCAAAGTGCTTTCATCGTCGTCGACGTCTTCTGTTTCTGCCTCCTCTTGCTTTGGTCTACTCTCGCATGTTCTGAGCACGCCGCGGACTGTTGAACGGGACTTTTCACTATGGACTATCTGAATGCGGGCCTGGACCTGGTGCAGTCGCGCCTCGCGTGGGTCGCGACGGACCCATTCGATTGGAAGCTATACCTCCAGCTGACTTCTTGGGGCGTGTGCCTCTTCGAGTCTTACCTCTTGTACGCTTCCTCCTTCTGCTTTCTTCCTCGGGGCTCTCGCAGTGCTTGTGCTTGCGGCGCTTGCCATGCCGGGATGTTCTCGCATGTCTCGAATGATCGAAGCTCATGCAAACGTCTGTTAGACTTCGCCAGTTCCCGCTCTACTCCAAGACGGAGCCGCCTCCTGTGCTGAAGGACCACTTCAAGGAGGAAGTGTTCAAAAAGAGCCAGGCATACGGCAAGGACAAGGCCAAGTTCTCCCTTCTCGCCGGCTTTTACAAGCAGATCGTCGACTCGATCTTCATTCACTTCGGCATGGTCGCCTGGTCGTGGAAAGCTGGTGGATGGATCGTCGGCAAGTTCGGTTATGGGCCAGAGTATGAGGTACGTGTACATCGTGCGCGAGGGATGATGGTGCCAGAGCGGGCGCGCATATATAACTGTAGCTTTTGGTTGGACGTCGTCGTGTCAGTGCCAGATTCTCATTGGATCCTGGTTGACTCTCTACTTGGCCAGGTCAACGGCGCATGATTGTATTAGAAGTCATCCTAGCGCATGCATTTGCTTGGGCTTGCGTTAGTGCATGCACCTTCGTATCCGCAGGTTGCCTGGATGTATGCGCCTATAGCAGTCCGTACAGGAATATGCAGTATGGTCGGCACTCTCGGGCGTATGTTCGTGCTGGTCGCTGGCCGGAATCGAGCGCGTATACTCACTGTATGCGCTCCCCATGACCTTGCCTTCCGCATATACGCACAATTCGACTGCATTTACCCTATATTCCAGCGCATACACTCATATTCTCCCATACACAGATCACCCAATCCATCGCTTTCGCCTTCACGCTCTTCTTCCTTTCGTCGCTCCCCTCGCTCCCGCTCTCCATCTATCAGACCTTCGTTCTCGAGGAGAAGCATGGCTTCAACAAGATGACTCCGCAGCTCTTTGTCACGGACCTCCTAAAGTCGTGGGCGGTCGGCTTCGTTATCGGAGCACCCTTCCTCGCTGGATTCCTCGCGATCTTCAAATGGGCTGGAAGCAGATTCGTTCCCTGGTTGATGGCATTCTTGTATGCATTTCTCCTGCTCTCACTCCCTCCCAAGCCCCCTAGCGCGTATACCCGTAGTGACTGCTTCTATGCGGGGCGTTTCACTGATCCAAACGGATTGAAACAGGCTGATATTCCAGATGTCGATGGTTGTGCTCTACCCGACGGTCATCCAGCCGCTGTTCAATAAGCTGTCCCCGCTCCCCGAGGGCGACCTCCGCTCGCGCATCGAGGCGCTCGCGTCCAAGCTCAAGTTCCCGCTGAAGCACTTGTACGAGATTGACGGCTCGAAGAGGTCGTCGCACTCCAATGCGTACTTCTTCGGATTGCCTTGGGTGCGCTGCGTTGTCGTAGTACCGTGGAATCGGAGTGCTGATTGGCGGCTGAACATATGTAGAGCAAGCATATCGTCATCTTTGACACGCTCATCAAGCAAAGCAAGTCTGAGGAGGTCGAAGCGGTCCTCGGTGCGTCTACGTCCTCTCCCGTCCTCGTCGTCGCTCAGACCCCGCTAATGCCACATCAAATACGTAGCACATGAGCTGGGCCACTGGTACTACATGCACCCGACGAAGCTCCTTTCGGTGTCGCAGCTGCACATCTTCAGCATCCTTGCGCTCTTCCCCGCGTTCCTACGTGCGCCGCCTCTCCTCAGGGCATTCGACTTCCCGCCTCAGGTCGCGGCGAAGCCCCCAACTATTGTCGCATTCTTGTTGTACCAAGTGCGTTTCGCCGCCTCCTGCCGCCTCAGTACTATCGCTCGTGCTGTCAGCTGATCATGCTCATCTAGATGCTCCTGACACCGTTGGAAGCCGTCGTGGGGATCCTGATGAACGCCGTTTCGCGCAAGTTCGAGTACGAGGCGGACCGCTTCGCGTGCGAACTCCAGAACAAGCTGGGGGACTCGAAGATGGCGGACATGGGCGACCGCCTCGGGCGCGCGCTGACTGCGCTGCATGTGGAGAACCTGAGCACCGTTTGGGTGGATTGGCTGTGAGTCCTGCTTCTTGACGATGTCGGTGGTGTAGCCGTTGTTGAGAGGCGTTTTAGGTACTCGGCGTACCACCATTCGCATCCGACGCTGACGGAGCGGTTGCGTGCGCTGGAGGGATACAAGGCCGCCGTGGCTGCTGAGAAGACTGCGGTAGAGAAAAAGGAGTTGTAATCGCTCGAGTGACACCGAGTATCTTCTCGGGAGTGGGTGAGGCAGAGGTAGAGTATGGAACATCACTCTGTACCTACTTCGCATACCGCGGGCATATTTATTGGTTATCCGCACGAATTCGCAGCGCTGTGTTTATGCGGAGTCGTCATTTGCAATGACGGTGTGGAATACGTATCGTACATACGCTAGTTGCCGACCACCCAGAAGTCCCGACAAGGACTGGTATGGCCGGCAGCATTTGTTCAAACCACGTCTTTGGTGAGGTGAGAGGTACCCGACTGTTGTACATCCCGAAGAAATTCACTGATGGGCGATACGTAGACATTGATCCGAACATGGCGCCTCGGGTTCACGTTATGCTGCACACAATCCCGTCCGTATGTGACCACCTCCTCTCTCGCCTAACTCAGGTTTCTGTACACGCAGGGCATAGTATGCCCGCGGCTCATCTCAAAAATAGTGACCGTCGGGTGCGTACCTATCCGATTGTCATCCCGTTTATGTCCTCAGAGGGCCTTTGTCTCCTGCAGATCATTGGGATGATACAACGAGCTTGACGAGGGCTGTCCTCAGGTTCACGTAAAGCATGATGCTGGGTGAAGAGCAGGTTCTCGGTCATACCCCGCTTACCCTGAGCAGACGACTATATAATGGCTCTTTGTGAGTGCTACTGTCCCCACGCCTCTGGGTCGCTGGTGTCCTCTTTTTCCAGTCGCATCTCTTTGTCCCTTACCCAGTTCAAGTCACCCTCCGAAGACATTCATCTCCCGCTAAGCAATACGCCATGTTCTCTACCAAGCGCCTTCTCGCCTTCGTCTGCTTAGGGCTGGCGTACGCCGCCCCACAATCGGCGAACTTCCGGGTTCACGAGCAGCTCGTTGCCGCCCCCCGTGGCTTCACGTCCGTCGGGCCCGCCCCCGCTACGAAGATCATCAGCTTGCGCATCGCTCTCGCGCAGAGCGACAAGGACGGGCTCGTCGAAGCGCTGTACAGCGTGAGCGACCCGAAGAGCGCGAAGTACGGCCAGCATTTGTCTAAGGCTGAGGTACGTCTATGCCACGACTCTGCTCGCGACGGCTTCTCATGTTCATCTTTCCGTATGCTCGACAGGTCGAGGCATTCGTCGCTCCTAGCTCCGTTACCAAGGCCGCAGTGAATGCGTGGTTACAGGAGAACGGGCTGAACGCCACGAGCATCTCTCCTGCGGGAGACTGGATCGGCGTTGACATTGCCGTCAGCAAGGCGAACTCGCTGTTCGACGCTGACTTTACGACTTTCGCGTACCAGAGCTCGGGCAAGCAGGTTGTTCGAACGCTGTCGTACTCTCTCCCGGAGGCCCTGCAGGGGCACGTCGACCTTGTGCACCCAACGATCAAGTACGCACATGTCTATTGCCACACGATGTCCACCCGTTGACTCCATCGAGTAGTTTTCCCAAGCCCATCGATCTTCGCCTACCCAAGACGAAGCGGGCCTTCCACGAAATCGTTCCAATGAAGCGAGACGTGGCCTCCACCTGCGCAAACGGCACGATCCCGGCGTGCCTCCAGGATCTGTACCAGATCCCGACTACCCCAGCCACAAACAACAACAATTCGCTAGGCGTGACGGGGCTCTTCGGCAACAACGCACACTACGCATTCCTCGAAAAATTCCTGCAGACGTACCGGCCGGACATGGATCCCACGACGAACTTCACGGTAGTCGGGATTGATGGCGGGGTCAACGACCAGGACGGGTCTTCAGTATCTGAAGGGGTTAGTGTTCATATTACTCCAAGGTCAGTCAGTATTCACTCCCTGACCAAATCGTTCCACAGGAAGCGGACATACAATATACAGTCGGTGTTGCTACCGACGTCAATGTCACCTATTACTTCATTGGACCAGACGTGAATGATGACCCCACTGGGGGCTTTATAGACGAGGCAAACTTGCTTCTCAGTCTGGAGAACCCTCCGCTAGTACTCACGACGAGCTACGCGGACTCGGAGAGTGGGCTCTCCTTCGACCTAATCGAGTGAGCACTCCGATATTTGCTATGACCTGCTCGATGATCGTGTCCTGAAAGCTTGGCAGTAAACTGTGCCGGCTGTATGCGCAGCTCGGCGCGCGCGGCACAACTATATTGTTCGCATCCGGAGACAGCGGGCCGGGATGTCTAGAGGACAGCAGTGCGAACTTCGCGCCGACGTTCCCGTCCACCTGCCCTTAGTAAGTCTCGCGCTGCTGGCAAAAGTTCATGTAGCGACGACTGAATACGAAATTCCTTAGCGTCACTTCTGTAGGAGGCACACAGAGCTTTAGTCCGGAACAAGCGTGGCCCGGCTCTTCTGGTGGATTCTCAAACTACTTTCCGACACCCGACTACCAAGCCGCGGTCGTCTCCGCGTATCTCGCTACGCATGGAAGCAAGAATGCGGGGCGCTTCAACGCGAGCGGGCGTGCATTCCCCGACATCGCTGCGAAGGCCGACCATTTTGTCGTCCTGGAACCAGACGTGTTCTCTTTCACGGGCACGAGCGCCGCCAGCCCGACAGTGGCGAGCATCGTCGCCTTGCTCAACGATAGGCTACTGAACGCGGGGAAGCCCCCGCTGGGCTTCCTAAACCCGTGGCTGTACTCGGAGGGCTTTGCGGCGTTCACGGATATCACCACAGGTAACAGCTCAGTTCATTGCTCTCAGAGCGATACGGCGCGAGGATTTGATGCGGAGGTTGGTTGGGATCCGGTATGTTTTACCTCGAGTGGCGGATAACTCTTGTGCTGATGCGGTCTGCGCAAGGTTACGGGCTTGGGTACCCCTCGCTTTGACAAACTAGTCTCTTTGCTTGGATTGTGAGCGTACTTCGCAGCCCGTTTGTGACGTTTGTGTGGTACAGGAGCAATCACTTCCTTGCTGGCGTGACACTTGAGCGAGGTAAACGGTTTGACTTGAGTGGAACAGACAGTCGAAACAGGCGCCGGAAAGCCCACGCCGCAGCATGATCCCCCAGACTACCAGTAGGGCCTGCTCGCGCGAGTTGACCATATGTATCCCTGTCTGTTCCTTCTCTGATTGCTTCTAGCACGTGGACAGCCGCCTCGCTTTCAAAGTCCCTACTACGATCTCTCCTCTCGAGTGACTTTTGTCCATGATTGCGGTGTTTCGGTGATTTTTGAGCGAGCCCTCCGCGTCGCTTGGATGTCCGGGCGATTACAATGGCGGAAAAGGAGACCCTCGATCATGGAATTGAATTCTCTTGAACGCAGCGGATCCATAGAAACAACCGCTACGATTTCAAGTCGTACGGGGGGAGCTGGACCAACTTCAAGTTAGTGATTGCCAATGAAGACATGTTCGATCCTCACAAAAGGGGCATCTCAACACAGTTCAATGTGCTAATAGTTCGCAAGGGTAAACAAGGCAAGAAAAGTGGAAACGAAAGAAATGGACAAATGAGGTACGTCAGCAACTCCATCGATGCTGATTATCACTCAGCGGCGCGGTCAGCTCCGGTCTGGTATACCGCTTCAAGTGGTCGCGAAGAGATTAGTGAGTTTTTGGCTCCTTTCCTGAAGTTTATCATTCCTCGTGACATATGAAGGCACGTAGATAATTGCAATTTTGTATTCATTAGTTCGACTTGGTACACCACCACCCTCAGCGCACGTAAGTCCGAGTCCTCGGAGTAGGGAGCGTTGAAGAGCTGGACATGACCTGCACGGTCTTCGCTCTTCATACCACCGTCAAGACGGAGGTATTTCCAACCCGTATCAAATGTCAACTAGATTTTCAATCACGGATATCAACCTGAGATAGCATATAAATTCCAGAGAAGGAGCGGCCGAGCTACTCTTCATAAGCCGGAAGATGCTCAGTGTCCCTGCTTTGTTCCTCCAACTGCGCGCTGACCGACGCGAATGCAATACGGAGCCTGGAGACCTCTTCCTCTAGTGCGCGAAGAGCTGTGCTGTTCCCGCCGCCACTACTGACCTCCGACCCAGCCCTCGCGCTTCCAGGAGATGAGAGCATCGACATCTCTCGCTGCAATAGATCGATTCTTTGTGCGAGCACCTCCCTTCGTTTCGACGTTCGTGTCGCGGTCGTGCCCGTGGAGGTAGCTGAGGACTCCGTCTCCCTGCGCATATGGGCAGACGGCCTTGTGAGGGGATTTGGATCCGCAGGCCAGAGCTCTCCCCCGAACTCGTACCCAGAGCCCGGAGTCGAGCTGACGTGGACGCCGCTTGTATGCTGTATCAAGGGAGGGTGCGCTGCGCTCGCAGGATGAACGACCGTGGTGGAGTGCAGAACAGATCACATGTACTCACAATCTCTGTAGCGGTTGCCGCTGACCTCACTAAGACCGTGAGGTTTACGGTAAGCTTCCAGTGGGGGGTCGTCGTGATGAGAAGGAATCTGCTCGGATCGCTCACGCCTCGCGTGTCCTTGAGCCTTCCGTCGACGCAGGAATAGTAATCCCGCGACTCCCGCTATCAGGATGAGAGCTAACCCTCCTAATACTCCTCCAATAATGACGCCAACAGGTTTCGCCGTAGAGGGGGTAGAAGCCGCAGCTAACGTTGACTCTGACGTCGTCATGGTGCTACTAACGATGGTTCTCGACGTCAAAGGAGTAGACGTTGAAGCGGTAAACGTTGTAGAGGTAACATTGCTCTCCGTCGTGTACACGACATAGTCGAAGAGAATGAGAGACTTCGTGTCGCCGTCTGCGGTCATCACCAGGGTGTGGGGGCCGTTCGAAAGTCCCATGATCGAATGAACAAGTTGGTTGTACTGTATGACTTCCGTACTGAGATCAGGAGTGTGCAAGAAACTACCGGTATCGGCGCCGTCCACAGTGAAGGAAATATTGGCGAAAGTTGCCGTGTTGTTGGGGAGGAAGTTGGGCACGATATTATAGACATACACTGCGGTCCCCGTGAAGTTCACGATGATTTGAGCAGGGGTCAGCCCGGGGGTATGAGTTGCATCGTGCCAGGTATGGTCGTGTATCTGGCTGATATCCAGGGTGGAGGGTTTGATCTTGCAGCTGTCGCAGTCCTCAGAGGGGGAGCCGACGTGCCAGGTTCCGTCATTGGGTAGATATGTAGGAATGAAACCTGTGGTGTCATCTCCGAATTGGTCATCGATGGTGACGTTGACGGAAACTGCTCTCGTAGGGACGGAGAAAACATGGAGGTTATGTACTACGAATGCAACTAAGCATTGTAACCGTGAATCTATCTGTCAGCAAATGGTGCATCTTTGGGAGTCACTGTGCACGGACATACACACGAGCAAGGCACGCCTTCTGCAATTTTTGAGTGCAGCCATGACTGGACTCGTGAAGTTGACTTGCTACGTTGTCTGCGATGTGAGAGAGGAGATAGTCGGAGTAAGTGGGGGCGTCCACGCAGACAGGCATCCCACCCTGTGTCATTAGTTTGGTAATCGGTTTGGCTAGTTTGGCAATCACACTGATTGGGTTTGCCATCACCTTGGCTGATTCGGCAATGCACCGGCGAGCTGCCAAACTCACATCGGTTGCCATGTCAGAGTGCACGAGGCATTTGAGCGAGTGGTCAGAAAGAGGATATATAAGGCAGAAGTGTAGCTGTTTGCATATCTCATCGGAAAACTGTCGGATATCGCATGATCACACATAAGGATCTGTGTTTCGGTGTACTCGTTCACAGCTCCTTCATCTTTTGCTTCATCCTTCAGATTACATCTCCAGCTATGAACAGCTGATTTGCAGAGGGAAGATGCCGGACGAGTTACAAGCATCATTCAATGTATAGAAGTATTGCCCAGTTCCCACGTAGGCAGCCGGCAAGGGTAACAAGTAGCTCGGAGAAATTTGGAACCGAGGAGTACTGCCTTGAATGATCAAGGTGACAGACAGCTCACCATATGGCCAATGTCTCCCCGGAATCGGCGGCATTGTGAACATTGGTTACATCGTCCGTTCATTTCGCCCCGCGCGGTGTGCTTGTCAGCGCTTGATGCAATCTCCGCACAACTGGCTGGCACTTCTGCACTTATGTTGCGAAGCGCAATCCGGCACGCCATCGTGCATTCTGGTCGTACATAGCTAGCCTTGTGTCTGCACATAAGGTGCTCTTGCAGACACCTTGCTCGTTCCTGGCATAGAAGAACGCAATCTCGCTTGTGTAAGCCAGCTGCCAGCAAATAGTTATAGACGTTGCCAGTCACCTCTGATGATGTACCACCTTGTCGCGTATGCGAAGGAGGGGCTGTTAGTATGTAGTACTTGTGCCCATTTAGCGCTTCGGGTATTCCCGTGGCGGGCCCCGACTTTGTCCGACAGCTCAACAATTAAGGGCCTGTTCGGCAAAGAGTTGGAGTTAGAGTTACCGGCATTTCATGCCCAAATATAGTAATAATATCTCGGTCTTCAATCTCGAGAAAACTCGAGTTACTCGGGCGAGTGCATGCGTTCGGATGCCTCCCAGTAACTCCGGGCGGTTGTTATCAGCTCAGGTCATAACTTATCTCGAGGCTCTACCCTTTTGGCAGCCTGCTTGATTCTCTCTCTATAGAGTATTGGGATGGCTACCATGACCGGCGTAGATTGTGATCAGACATCCGAGACCATCCTACTTGAGGGATTAGGGCAGGCTACTACCAAGGCCCGCCCAGTCAAAACAATGACAGTTACTGCTATAATAGCCTGTCTTCGGCGCTCTATTTGAGCCTGATGGATAGCTTGGTGAATTTAGACAGCTGCTCTTGTGTGGACCATGGTGAAGCAGGGATGAAGCAGAGCCCATCTGATAAGCCATAGCTATTGGTATACTAGATACATGTACGAGTTCAGGGCGCTTGTCTCCTCCGGACTTCACGGGTACTCCGCCCCTGTAACTCTAACTCGCGCAGAAATCCTCGGAAATGCCGCCACGTGACAAAATGCCGGTGACTCGTAACTCCAACTCTTTGCCGAACAGGCCCTAATGTCTATCTCTCTGGAAACACTTCACGGACACACTCAATACTCGGACATAGCCACTTCGGTTCTCAAAAAAATTCCTTTCGTTCTCCTAGAATATGCCAGCACAACTGATGGATACAAGACCTACACAATGGACCCTGTCGAGTTGCATAAGCTTATATAAAGGTGAGTATTTTGCTCCCTCTCCCGCTCTTCCCTATCTGCAGCGTAATGACTCACCACACCGGAGCATCGCGCGTAGTAGCGAAGTGTGTCGTTCGGACAGGCAGCTTCAATATATGCGATAATCTTTTCCACAGAAGATACACTACAAGAAACGTTTTCACAACTCATATTTATGCTGAAGCGGAGTAGTAGACTATGCTTCATATGCCGGTAGTAGTACGGAACCCCTCCCCTGCAGTTCCCTGACAGAAGCAAGTGCGTTTCGCAGACTGGTCACCTCCTCCTCCAGGGCTCGTAGCTCGCTCCCACTGCCTGGGCTTGCCTCCGAGCTAGCCCTCACGTTCGTAGAAGAAGAGAGGACGGACATCTGTCGCTGCAATGTGTGGAGTCTCTGGGTGAGCTCCTCGTGTCTCCTCGAAGACTGTATCGGAGTGGAGCCAGCAGCGATTACTGAAGCCTTTGACTCCCCAGGAATCAGGTACAACTCCCTTGGAGAGTATGTGTGTGTAGCCGTTTCCGTGAGCTGGGTCTGAGAGGTAAGGCTCAGAGTGCTGCCTGCGTGGGTTTCAGTGCGTCGCCTGTAGTGGGACATCGCAGAATCCGCTATACCGTGGAATGAGTAGCGCTCCAGCTGCAGAGTAGTAGTACACTACTCACTAATCGCGTACCTCGCAGCTTGGCTCCCGAGGAGATTATAAGGCTCATGGTACTCATCTTGATATGTGAGTACCCTTTGCCTTGAAAGCCCGTGCCTGGCGAGCCGAGACTTCCTCCGACGGTAGTAGAATACTGCCGCACTGACTAGGACGACGAAAGCCATGCCTCCGAGAAGTGCTCCGACGATAGTTCCGACAGGCCTCCGAGAAGAGACGGACGCGATCAGCGGAAGCTCCGTCGCACTCGCGGTGCCAGCGCTGTTTGGCGTTGAAGTGGAAGAGGCCGCAGTACCGTTTGGCAGGGTAGAAGTTGGGGCAGCGTCAGTGCTTTCCGTGGTGTACAGGAGGTAGTCGAAGAGCACAAGGCACTTGGGGTCGCCACCTGAGGTCATCACCAGGGTGTGGGGAACGTTTTCAAGCCCATTCTTCGAATAAACGAGTTGGTTGTACTGTATGACTTCGGTCTTGGGATCTGGATGGCGCACGAAACTACCGGCATCCGATCCGTCGAGGGTAAAGGAGATGTTGACGAAGGTCGTCGTGCTGTTAGGGAGGGAGTTGGGCACGATATTGTAGACATACACTGCAGTTCCTGTGAAATTCACGATGATTTGAGCAGGGGTCAGCCCGGGGGTATGAGTTGCATCGTGCCAGGTATGGTCGTGTATCTGGCTGATATCCAGGGTGGAGGGTTTGATCTTGCAGCTGTCGCAGTCCTCCGAGGGGGAGCCGACGTGCCAGGTTCCGTCATTGGGTAGATATACAGGAATGAAACCTGTCGTGTTATCTCCGAATTGGTCGTCAATGGTGACATTCATCGGAATGGGTCTTGCAGGGGAAAAGAGCAAGGAAAGACGAGACGCGGCTAGAGAACTGTCGACAATCCGTCTATCAGCGATGAACTTATTACGAATCTATAGGGCACCAATTTACTAAGGGTATGGTGCTCCTCAGAACTCGAAATCTAACTGTGACTCACTCGCAGTTTCAAGGAAAGATTCGTCGGAGACTCTTTTGGTTTGAAAAGTCCGATTCGTGAATTGGAGAGGACAGCAAGGCGAGAAGAGTGAAGGACCAGGAGAAGTGTACAACTACCGGTATCCAGAAGGGGGAGCTTTGCGACGATCGAATTCTCCGAGATCTTAGCTATAACCTGATACCCGTCACCAGTGTACTTCCCGGTGTTCCTGCCTGCTTGCGCGTCAAAGGTAGATTCTATAGACGCTGTTACCAAATCTGCCATGAGGCGATACTCTGAAAGGCTGCTTCAAGAGATGTGTATGCCACAATAGGGGCTGTGTCAGACAGATGAATGTAAAGACACAGTCGTCTCCTCGTGGAGTCGTCGTTGGGATCACATACCATCATTGCGTTGCCTGATGCCCCGTGTGTCTCCCTCGGGTTAATTTTCTACGGTACCCGTTCTCTGGTGTCGTAGGCATTTGGAAACTGGGTAAGCAGAGACGAACGAACACCCTCGGGTGATTGTTTAAATCACTTGAATTGCAGCGAAGCGGTACCCAAACTCTATGTCGAAAGGAGCCTGTCATCGAGCGAAACGCTTTCCGTCAACAATCTGATGCTAATCTTTCAGAATTGACGCGATGGCGCCTCGTTCTAGCAGGAACCTTGGGCTCTGTTACCCGGATAAAAGCCGACAGAGCTAGCGCTCGCGCAGTTGTGTGGATTTCAATACCTGAACGAGAGCAGTACAGGAATCATAATGATGAGGTCAAACTACTTAGAAGTGATCATCATTAGATCAGTGAGCATGGAACATGCATCCCTAGGTTATAATCACCGATCATCTCCTGAATCTGAGGGTCCGCACTGGTAACTTCGTGTGCAGGCTTACCTAAGCGCTGGAGCGCTGCCCTACCGAAGTGCATGGTTATGTATGAAGGTATTCTGGGCACAGGTAGCAGTAGCATCATTGAGTTAGATGCTCATGGACGTATCGTAGCTACCTATATGCAGCACCGCTAGTGGGCTAAGTAGAACTTGAGACCTGTGATCGTCATAAGGCTAGTCCCTTGTACATGCCAGTGCCAGTGTATCAAAGTAAATCCTGAAGATCTCCGGGGGCGAGAGGAGACCGGGAGGATTGTAAATGAACACCCGAGAAGCGACGTTCTCGGCCGCATCGGACTGGTGGCATGCAATGCGCGTATACAGGTGGAGAGATATCGATCGAGCACGATCGGTCGATGAGGTCCGCAGCTAAATGACTCACTATAACATTAAAGCGCTCATGCAGACTGCAAGCACGTCAACGCGAGAGCAGCAGGCGACATGGGGTACCCAGAAAAGTACCCCGTCGTAGACTTAAGAAGAGACCACGAGCATGGCGTCTGAAACGCAGTACGAAGCCAACTTCTCCTTCCCCTGGCGGGATCTCGAGAACGACCGCGTCAAGGTCGTGCTATTCAACGTAAATCTGCCATCCAAGTCCTTCATGCCTTGACTACACTCATGTTTTTGCTCCAGCCAGCTGTACACGGGGCGGAGTACTGGGCAGGCACGAAAGACCACCCCGAGGTGTACGACTACCTACCATGGGGCCCCTTCCCTTCACTCGACAGCTTCGTGCACTACATCGACCAGCGCTTCAATATCTCCCCATCCTATCTCGTCCTCGCTGTCCTCGACAAGACATCCCCCGGAACACCGCTCGCAGGGCTCGTAGGCTTTCTCTACGCCGAGCCTAGCAATCTCTCACTCGAAGTCGGGATCCTCATCTGTCTCCCCGCGTTCCAACGCCGACGCATCACGTACGCGGCCGTCGCCCTGCTCCTGCAGTACTCCCTCAACCTGCCCACGGACGGCGGTCTGGGGCTGCGGCGGGTACAGTACCAGGCGAACAGCAACAACGTGAAGTCCGTTGGCTTCGCGAAGAAGATGGGCTTTCACTTGGAGGGGATTATACGCTGGCAGAGGGTGCTGGACGGGTCCAAGCCCGGGAACGGGAAGGCGGCGAGAGAGGGCGATCCGAAGCCTGGTACGGTCGGGAGGGATACAGCGTTATTGAGCTTGTGCTGGGATGATTGGGAGGAGGGGAAGAAGGACGCCATCTGCCAGCCGGAATATGTCCTGTATAGGTCCTGACAGCGTGCAAGCGCTAGGCGCAAGCAAGTGCGGAGCAGGAATAGTAGAAATAGACTCGAACGAAGCTGACGTCAGTAGAACACGCCAGTGTTGCCACAACGAACGATCGTCGGAAACGACACTTGCGTCGTACCAGGCCCATAGGTGCTATGTCCTGATGATCAGACGCGAGCAGCTTTCCACGACGGTCTGTCAGACTGCGCTCCGTGGTGCTATGAAGTCGTGATTATTATTCAGCACAACCTCGCGTCTAAGAATGGATGTAAATCACCTTTGCTCCGTCCGCAGGACCCCAACACAATGCCCCCTCCCATGTGTTTCTACCGCGCAGCAATTGCAGGCCTGCAAGCGCCCAACTTCCGCACTACGTCAGATCACGCAAACGCATAAAAAGCCAATACTTACTACTGAGGCGCATCAGCCCGCATCCGCGAAGACATCATGAGCACAGCAGAGCTGCCGCCAATCGAATACAACTTCTATTTCCCCTGGCGAGACCTCGAGAACGACCGCGTCAAGCTCGTCCTCTTCGATGTACGTCGTCCACAGCTCCCTCTCGTCACCTCCATCCTCTCACCCTGCCTACCAGCCAGCTGCGCATGGCCCCGCATACTGGGAAGGCACGAAAGACCACCCCGCGCTCTACGACTACCTCCTCTGAGGGCCCTTCCCCTCCCTCGCCGCCTTGCTTTCTTACGTCTCCCGCCGCGCCCAGAACGCCGCTGGGTCCTTCCTGCTCCTCGCCATCCTCGACAAGGCGTCCCCCGGCGAGCCGCTCGCGGGTATCACGGGCTTCCTCGACGCAGACCCTGCGAACCTCTCCGTCGAGGTGGGCGTCCTCGTCTGCCTGCTCGCGTTCCAGCGCAGGGGCCTGACGTCCGCCGCCGTCGCGCTGCTTCTCCAGTACTGCCTGGACGTGCCCCGAAACGGGGGGCTCGGGCTGCGGCTGGTGACGTACGCGTCGCACATCGCGAACGCGGCTTCTGTCGGCTTTGCGCGCAGGATGGGGTTCGTGTTTGAGGGGGTGGCGCGCTGGGAGAAGATGCTCGTGGAGGGGAAGCCGGGGAACGGCAAGTCGGTGGCGGGGAGGGAGGGCGACCCACGGGCGGGGATGGGCGGACGGGACACGGCGTGGTCCAGCTTGTGCTGGGATGATTGGGAGGGGGGCAGGAGGGAGGCGGTGTGTCGGCCCGAGTATGCGATGCGTAGATCCTGACAAGTCGATTCGAACGAACATACCTGTCAGCGGCCGTATCGTGCATGCAGAAAGGTGAGCATGGAACGATCTATAGCAGAACCCAAGAAAATGCATTGTGGTACAGAAAACATCCAAACCATCGTGAGCATGTGGACGATACACTTCTATTTGCCAGTCTTGTCTTGCCAACTATCGCAACCATCAGCCATCTCTCCTCTTACGTGAAGAGGGAACGCAAGAAAGAACTCACATGTCGAGGAATAGCTTCCACAGCACCGAAAACATCAGCCCCTGCAGCCCGTTCGCCAAGATTCTCGTCTTCAACCCCCTCCCAAGCAACCCCCTCAGCCCGTCCTGCGCGATGACCGCCTCTGCTGCGGCCATATACCCGATGCGCGTCTCGTGTACCTGGCGGTATGTCTTGACGACGCGAAGTGAGTTCGAGATGGAGTCGGAGACGACGGACGCGCAGAATCCGATGAACGCTTGTCGGAGGAGCTTCTCGACGATGGTGTTAGGTTGGGGGAGGGTCTCGTCGAGGTAATTGTAGGTCCCGAACCAGGGGTAGTGCCCGACGAAGGTCGCCGCCGCAGTCGCGAAGGCCCCGTACCAGAGCGTACCAACGCCGTAGCGCTTGATCTGCGCGGGTTCGAGAATCGTGAGCTCTGCCACTGCGCGGGGCCATCATGTCATGGACGCACCCTCGAGCGGAGGATGGCGATCCCCGCCTTGCCCTCCGTCTGCATCGTCGTCTTCACCGTGTCCACCGGCGTGAGTATCATCCTGAAGGCCGCCGCAGCCAAGCTCGCAAACACCGTCTTCAGCAGCGCGGGCAGGTTCTTCAGGTACTTATTCGACTTCAGCAGCGCGAGGATGCCGACGTTCGCCGCGGTATCTCCAAACCGAGAGACGGGGCCTTGGATGAGGGCTGCGCTGAGGCCCTGATAGTAGCGCGTCCAGCCGCCATCGGCGTAGAGAGTCTCGATCGCTTGCGTAGTCGTCGTGCCGTAGCGGTATTGGTAGTTCATGACCGTGCGAAGGGGCATGAGCGTGAGCACTTGGAGGACCATCGCGGCCGCGCCGCTGAGCCCTCCGCCCAGGGCAGACTTGAGCGCTTTCCCGAGGTCGAACTGGAAGAGAGTTATAGTGAGTACTAACTCCTGCACGAGGAGAGGAAGAGAAACAAATGGGGCCACGCTAAGAGCGAGAGGTTAGGAACCCGACACGCGGGCAACTAAATGCAACGCCCCGCTCAAAGTTGGCGGATTTTCGGAGCAGCCCGTATTTCGTCCATCCGTACTTTGCTTCACGGCACAAGGTCAGGGACCATGGAGGGGGCTGAGCCTTTGTCACGGTTGCGGGCATGGTATCGGGCGCGCCCAGTGTTCCCCTAGTGTGTTGTATGGAAATGACCACTTCTGTCTCGCGGTGATTAATACCAGAGGATCCGAGGCCTCTTGTTGCTGACGCGGAGGCATGGGTTCTCTTCTGCTAATGAACGGGCTCCTTATAGGTGAACTGATGGGGAGTCCGCGAGAAATACCATTGCTGAATCATGCTGTACATAGACTCTATACAGAGCTCACAGCATGCCGCACCTCTCCTGCCGTGCCAGGTCCCACCTCGCGCGGGAGTGGACACGTACTAGTGCTGACCTGCGAGCCCCACACGCTCATCGCGATGCGCTGCCCCGTGTACTTCCTGACTCAATGCGCTTCACGAAATAGGGACTTTTGTTCCAGGAAAGTGCTTGAAGAATGCGAGGAGGAGGCACTCGATGAAAACGCGAAAGGTCTGCTCGGAGGCGCAGGGGCCTCCAGCAGCGTGACGCAAAAACGGATGGACGAGATACAGGCGCACCGAAAATCCGCCAACTTCGAGCGGGGGCTACTGGCGCGGCATAGAGCTCGTAACACCACAGCCATCCCAGAATCCAAAAGCACGAGATGCGATCCGTGAAGAAGACAGAAATAATAAACTCACATCAACGTCGTCCGAGTCGATGATCCCCTTGATAAAGACCGCGACAACCAGGACACCGAGGATGGTGAAGACTGTATACCATGCAAGGGTCCACCATGCGCGCTTCTCTTGAGGAGGAGGGGAGGTAAGATCTTCACCTGCTTCAACTTGGGCCTCGCGGTCGAGGAGGGGAGCCCGCTCGTCGGTGGGCCGTTCGGCCATGGCAGAATGGGAGGAGAAGGGGAGAAACGAGGAGCGGCGTAAGCGTGTACATCGCTGACTGAGCTCAGGCGTACTGAAGCGATAGCGCAGCCCGCCCACAATCCCACGGCGGGCCCTTATCTATTCTGATACTCAACTCACCATCGCCGTTCGCGTTCTGTGATCTTGTCCATTCGTACCCAGAGGCCTCAAGAATACCGCTTTGCATCTTATTCACTACTATTTTATAGTGGCCGCGGGCCCCATGAAGCCTCGGTCATCAATTGCAACTTCTGGTCGCAAAGCCGTCTCGTTGTGCTCCCGCCTCGCGGTGGTACAGCAAGGTTGTTGCGAGCTCATAAGCTAAAGTGTAGCATGAGTGGCTACCAATCGTGGTGTCTGACCGTCTGCATTGAGACCTTGCATTGATTCCATCTGCTAAGGGAATCAAGAACAACGATACAGCGCTAGAGAGCCACTCTCTAAAGAGATGAGACCCATGCCAGGATGGTCAACTTACTATGGACACTGATGCTACCATACCTTTAGTAATAGGACAACACCAAGTAATAGGACAACACCTCTTAAGTAATAGGACGATAGGACAATACCTCTGTCAATATGAAGAGCTCATATGCGCGTTTGCCAGACGGAAAAACTGTGATGTCGGCCTCGACGTGATCAGTACATCAATGTTGCAGTTCAATGTTGTTTTGTCGTGCCCTGTTCCACTACGTACGTCTCCCCTCCTTTCTCGTCTGCTGGCTCACGATTTAATAAGTTCATCGACGCATGTCTGAGTGCTCGCAAATGAATCTGACCAGAGCAGAGCACGAATATCCATTGCCCGTTGCTGGGTGACAGACAGGAGTTTTCTCCGCTGGCCGGGCTAGCCGAAGACATTGACATTCGCCATCAGGCAGGCCGTCAGAACGTTTACTAAAAACGCCCCACAGAGACACATCTAGGTCAGCGTCGAGCCTCATTTGGGTCGTAGGGTCTCAGGCTTCCAGGCTTGACGATGGCCCGAACTCTATTCTATCAAACTGTGAGCGGACCTAGGCGTTAAGGCTGTCTTTCCATCCGACTCATTGATCTACCGAGGCTCGCCGTGCAAGATGCAGTCATGCAGGACCGCAAGCGTTGAAGAAACTAAGAGCGTCTTAACAGTGCGCATCTTACGCACCCCGACCGAGCAGCAGTCGAGCCGCCTCCTAACTTGATGGTATAGTAGCAAAACGTATCATTTTACAGTACAACAAACACTCACAGACACTGGGAAATGCGATGCTCGTAACAAAAACATCAGGAGCCCAGTCAGGTAATCAACGGAATGAACCTAAACATCACCTATCGGTATATGCTCAGATGACGAAACAGAGCCGCTGGCCGTCAGCCCGTCAGACTTCTCATTTGCAGCCGAGGACCCGCCAAACTGCGTCCTCGAAGCGTCTGTGAACTCGAGCTTAGACTGGATCATCGTCGACTTTTCCCTGGTCCACGCACGTCCCGCCACGACCCGGAGGACGACCAACTGTGGCGCGATGCACTGAAGAGAGCCCCGCGATCATCAGAATCTCCAATCACATCTTTACCCCAATACGCTGTGCGGACTCACCGTCATCATCACGTAGATCGAGAGGAAGAAAATGTCGATATCAGAGTTGCGCGCGAACGAGATGAGGTACGCGATGCCCGTCAGCGTCGAGAGCAGCATACTCTCGACGATGATCGCCGCCGCGCTCGTGTACGCCCGCCCGACCTCCTCGCCCATCGCGTGGCCATAGCGCCTGCCCACGAAGTAGATGCGCGAGCAGATGAGGGCGGTCAGGATGATCTCGAGGGAGATGATGCATGACGTGTAGCCGATGCCAAGCTTCTGCGCGAGCCCTGCAAAGTAGTTTGCGTGCGGCCGCCCGGACTCGTACAGCTGCGCGATCCCGAGCGCTGTACGGCGGCTCACGTCAGCCTTCCGCGCGATGAGCGAGGAGAATGATACGCACAGAAGCTCGCGAGGTAGATGATGACAGGACCTGCAATAATGCGGAGGTCGTTCCACACGACGTAGCAGCGGTAGATCTTCCGTGGCGTGAAAATTTGACCATCATCAGTCAGACGATGTGTGGATTCGATCAGCTTCCATGACCGCAGGAACTCACGAGAAGGCCGTCGCTGCAGAGGTTAAGGACGATGGACGCCGCGGTGCCAAATGTCTGGTACCATACGGAGGCGAAATCGCCGAGGTACGCGTCCATGCCTCCAGGGTAGTTCGCATTAACGATCCACATCTCCTGCCCGAAGACGGCCTCCGTGGCGACGAAGACGGTGTTGAGGAGGAGGAGGACGGTGCTGAAGAGGAGGAAGTATTTGTCCGTGGGGACATGCTTCCGCTTCCTACTAAGCATAATCCGGATGGTCATGAAGTACAGCACGAGCTCCACGCCTACCCAAATAGGTCAGTATAGCGCGTTTTAAGTTGATTACCGCATGATTCGCTCACCGTAAAGTATGGCATTGAAGTTGTTCCCGATGTAAAACGCATTTTGGAACAGCGACAGTGGGTCAGACATGGAGGGCTACGTGCTGTGGACCGGAGCCGTTGGGAGGCAGGGGAGCTCGGAGAGTGGGTGGACCTAGGATGACACCTGCCCAGGCGGAGGGACGCTGTCGCGTCTTTATGGGTGTGTGCATGACTACTGCGACTTCTTGATCTTCGGACCGCGAGGTGTGCCTTGCGAGCCGGCAGCCATACATGACGTTAGGGCGTCTTAGAGCGGCCTTGACAGCTTCTTATCCCACAGGGCGACGCCAATGGGCGCAACAACGGGCAGTGAGCGTCGAAGGGATCAGCTTGTTTACCTTCTGTGTGCTCATTATTCGAGCCATATCCTGAAGGCGGAGTCAAGCATAGTCAGATTGCTAGGAGGTACTCTCAAGGGTCCTGGGGAAACTGGAGACGCGCGCTGAATAGAGTTCGGTATGATTACGAGAGGACCGATATCACGTCGGGGAAAGGCTTCGGATTCCCATAGTCAAATTCTCACCGCCTATCTGGTATGCTGCTGCTCTATCTTGAAAATGTCCGCCCATCTGTGGTCAGAAAGATCTGAGCATGCACGTCAGAACTGCACCACATCGGTGTCGATTCTGAAAGCTCCCGTTGATAGCGAAACCTCCAAGGTAAAATTGTGACTTCTTGCCAGAAGCGGGGCTCTTGCGCGCGACCCGGCATATTCATTACCTCCGCCCAGGCCATTCATCATGCAGGGTGACATATCGTCATACCAACTGGACGCAGAAACAGGTCTGTCATTGGAGAGTCGCTGTTCATGGCCAATTCCGAGCTTATGGATCACGTACCTCGGAAGCGTCTGGCTGGGTCGTGGAACCTGGGGAGCATCCGCACCAGAAGCTGAGTGAGAGTACCGAAGTCGCACCGGAAAAGGCTGTGTGCGTAGTATATCAAGCAAAACGAGGTCTATGCGAGGCGAATTCTCGGTCTGCCACCATAGCACGCGGCGTCAACCACATATATGAAGTCTGTCATAGCGTTCTACTGACCCAGTTCGGAGGAAGCACTTCTTGATGGTGGGCGGCGTTGGCGACTAGAGCTCTCAGTGACAATTCTGTACGTTTGTCTGTATGTCCCTAGGAGTGCATTGAGGTTGTCGTGTGTTGCGACCGCAATAGTCGTGCCACTTCGCCGGGGAGGATAGAACTTTTCATAAGTCCGACTTAGCGCCGCCGCCGCCATATGCAGGTCATTTTCGGCGGCATCTCGCGGAGTTGCAATCCCTGTGGCGCCTGTCACTCCCCTGCCGCTCAACACTCTCATCTATCAACGCATGAATTTCTAACGCAATGCCTATGTCTACAACTTGAGTGAGAAGTATTCGTGCAGGCGGACACGGGACATACGGTTCACGATGACGACGCCACCGGCGCGGAGGTCTTGGGCGCGCTCAATTCAGCTATGTAGGAACCATGAGCGCCGAGGGCCCTGCGTACACCTACAGTTCCCTCCTCTACGAGCGGGCTTCAGAAGGGCTGATCGTTTGCTCATGTTGTTTTTGTTCGCGCTCATTAGTAGACGTAATGGCTGTCTTGGTTTGCGCTCACGCCAGAAGCTCAGAGTCACGTAGACTCTTCAAGGTACTACTCGCAATTCGTCATAATTGTCTTACCTCACTCATTCTGAACATCCATAGTTTGCTAGTGAATGGCGCCTCCAGATCCGAGAAACCGCACAAGAGCGGAGACCTGCCCCCCCGAGACCGCCTCGTTTGACCCTCCTTGCTAGCTATAGTTACGACCTGCGATTACTAATACTTCTACAGGACTCGGTGTCGACAGCTGAGCCGTTTCAATGACCGTGCATCCCCTCAACAGGCATCAATTTGTATGGATTGACTCCGCTTACACCCTTTAAAAAGCGGCCTTCTCCCTCGCGTCAGTGTAATTACTTCAAGCTTACCGTTCCAGACCAACCACACGTGAGCGCGATCTTACCTAGTCCACCTACCTGCATACCTCCTGTCTGGCATAGGCTCATATCCGGTGGCGTCGCATACAGCCTGCCATCGTCCCGTTTGCCATTGTGGCGATGCTCGGATGAACAAGTACAAAACGCACAACGTGGTTATCCTGGCTTTCACTACCATCGAGATGGACTGGCAGATCACGCTGCGGTGCGCAACACATTCCGCTCGATGTGTACCTCTCGGTAACATGTATATCCTTGAGGATCCCCACTGTTACACTCGCAATTATCAGGCCGTTTGCGAGTAGGGCCCAACGCTAGCACCCGAATCTCCCTCGTCGACGTCTTCTTTCAGGTACGTCTCTGTCTTCGGGTACCTGGGCAACTCAAGACATCTCCGACTCGGGCATCATCTTGCTGATAGCGAGGCGAATGCAGGAAGTGCTCCGGGAAAGGCAATCAATAAAATGACATCGAAAAGACAAACATATCAACGAAGGTGTGGATACGACTTCAGAGGTGTTCGAAGACGAAGTAAAGGCATGGAATAAGAGAGCTATAATGGTACGTTATACTCGATAACGAAGGTTAACTTTCAGCTCACTAGCAACTCTTCAATTCTATAACGACAGCACTTATTACAGCCATAGAAGACGCCTCGTTTATCCACTACACTCATTCTTCTCTCCAGATGCTTGTTCGCTGCTGTGGTTGGAGGTGATTTGAGCGGCCGATGAGTCTATAGGTCTCTGGGCATCCGACGACGTCGCCTTGTTGAATTGAATGGTGGTGAGGGGCCGCGTCTGCATCGTCTCCTTGGACCACGCTGTACCGGTTGCGAGGCGGTAGAGGATAAGATAGGTTGCGATTTGCTTGAAAACAGCAGGTCAGCACAGTTCCGTTTAGATCAGTAAGGCCAACAAACTTGAGCAGCCTGGGCGAAGCCCAGCCAGATTTGGTTTATGGGCTTATTCAAGCCATACGAGACCAGAAACATGACTGCAAACGCCGAATAGAGGGCTGCGGACTCGATGATAAGAGCCACTAGAGAGAGGTATTGGCTCGAATGTTCCGGAGGGAGGTGTACGAGATGCTTGTGACGGTACATGAGAAGCTTCAAGAGAATGAGAGCCGTGAGGACAATGTTGAGGCCTAACGATAAGGCATAATAGGCCGTCCCAAAAGCGAGGGGCTCCTTGCTATATAGCGAAAGACCAGGGTGACTAGACTGGAGTGTCCAAAGGGTACCCATGACTACAGCGGCCCTGAGTGAACGCGTTTCGATGGGTGATGCAAAGCAAAACATACCAAAGGATCCAATGAGTATCAAAGTGGGAAACGCAACCACCGCGCAAGCCACGGCACGTCCGGAGATGGTCCATATAACGTAGCATCGCCAAAGCTGAATGTGGAGATTACGCTCAGTGCAGTGATGAGGACGGTTGGGTTGAGCGTACCACAATGAGGTCGCAGAGGAAGGTCCCGACAAACAGAGTAGCGTAGAAACCCAACTTGAGAACAATGTCCTGCAAGTTAAGGAAATACTGCCACGGTCCCCCTGGATAGTTGCGATTGTCGACGTACATGACCTGGACTGTATTGGCCTGGTCGATACAGTAGATGAATTGGATTGAGATCAAGACAGATAGGTAACCGATGAGGAATATGGCTCTCCAGCCCCTTCTCTTTCGGTCCCTCCAGAAGTACATCACGCATGTCGTCCACAGAACAAGCTGAACCCCTGTTCCAATGCTTTGAATAGTTGTATAGTGCATCAAGGAGAAGTGCCCACCAAAACCGGTGCCAGTGATGAAGTCTCCAGCAACAAAATACCTTTCGAGATCAATGGTATTCTCGTCCTCGTCTGGACCGTAGTACACTCTACGTTGAGGTGCCATGGTATTGTATGTGTTTTGGCGTCCTCACAGTGGGAGTTCTTCAGTGTGTACAGAAGAGCGGCTCTCGAGGACGAGGGAGGTAGGTCAAAGATTAGGAACGCAAGAGCGGCCATTATATACAGATTTTAGTCAGTTGTATATATAACAAAGCTGAGTTGAAGTTGACAAGCATCGAATACAATTTACATATCGTACATGGTCATCTTGGCCCGAGCACGCCTGAACGCAGTATCCCTGTTCAGGTGTGCCTAGCCTCATGCAAACTGCCTGCCAATCTAGGCAAAGGACTCTCAAAGAACGGGTCTATCTCATGTATGCGTTATCCAACAACTCAGGGTTGTCAACCATACGTTTCAGTGATGATACGAACCCGCGGACCACCCCCCTCTTACCCGATCGCCTCCATCCGCCGCACTATAACCCTCAGTACGAACAGATCTGTGCCTGTGGAAGGGTGGGTTCTTTGAGATTCAATCCGTCCAATCAGGCCGCCGTATGATGTGTAACAATGCAACGAAAGTTATCGTCAGGAGCGATATTCATGGCAACGTCAGCGCGATGGACGAAAATCAGGCAGCTGTTTTGGACAATGATTATTGTCCAGGGTCTATGACAGCGTAACTCGTGCCACCCCCTCGCCGCTTTACATCTGCTTTGTCTCTAGTAGTATATAGGTTAAGGGCTCGCAGCCCAGGATCCTCGTCCCCTCGCCCTTCGGGAGCTCGCGCTCCTCGAGCTTTCGTTTTTGCACCCACCCTTCCGCTGTCCCATTTTTGGTCTCGCTTAGCTACGTCTCATGTATCAGGTACATTCGCCTTCCGCCGGCTTGAGCTCGGCCCACCGGTCGCGCGAGAGAGCGGTGGCGACACGGACTCGGTGGTCCCGCGCAGCTTCCGTAGCGCGCGCCCAATACCATCGTTTTCCGTCCTGCCCGAGTATAGCGTGCATAGACTCTCGGTAAAGTGATTACTAAGCACCTCTCACCCAACCGACAAACTCGGGCCGGCCTGGCGTGGCCCACAGCGAGCGCTCATGTGCTCATGAGTCGGGCTCAGTTAACTGCAGCTGAGGTTTCTCCCTTCTTTCATATCAGAATGTGATGTTTTGGCTTGACGTTGCTGTTCACCATGCTGAGAGTTACAGTGAACTTACCACTGGTGAACAACACTGGATCGCACATATTTCGCGGTCGCGGTGATCTGTTCCCTGTTTGTCCCTCTCGCAACTGCCTCAAGAAGCCGCAGCGATGGTTCTGTGTTACAGTTATATCCCTGCTCGCTGATATTTCCGAGTCGCTATGCCTCTTTATGTCCTTCCTGGTCCTCGGTTGCCTGCACAGAGTAGTGTCGCTGGGCCGCGTACGCCGATTTGGAACCACGAAGGTCAGCGCTCTGACCACGCATACCTCCATCAAGTCAGAGCCCTCAAATATAAAGCGCGATCCCCTCTCTGCTGCTGATCAACTTCAATACTCCCTCTTCCAATTATATAGAGGTTTAGGAGAGTATGACACTTCTCTTCCAGAACGCCTTTTACGTAGGAAATGCTTTCAATGGGATCCTGTATGGTGAGGTTTCTCCAACACCATATCAAATAGTACAAACTGAGCGGATACCATAACTCAGGTATTGAGCTTATGCTCTTTGTTCTGACTATGCAGGCTATTATGAGGAAGCGACATTCACGCGAAAATCGCTTCGACATCGTCTGGACAATCTGCAGCGGTGCAGCCCTTCTCCTTAATACCGCCTACGTTGCGACTGAGTTCGCATTCGGTCAAGAGATGTGGATAGTGTCCGCCAAACAGCCGGGCGGACAAGCCGCATACCTTTCAGACCATGCGTCTGTATGGTATCAGACACTTGGAACCGCCGCATCCATCTTGCTCAACCTCCTGACCCATGCCTTGATGGTACGTGGGTCTATAACGCACGGCCGCAAAATGACTGAATCATACAGATATACCGGTGTTACATCGTCTGGGGTCGTCTCCGGGTCATCATCTTTCCGTGCGTTCTATACCTGTCCACCTTCTGTATGTTAGAATGCAGGTCTTTCTTGCACAGAGCCACTTGACTGACGCTCTTCTTCCACGAGGCGTCGGGATCGCTCAGCTAGTCGAGGCAGGCCTGCCTCTCCGAAGCTATTTTACGGGGAACGCCCACAAGCTCGGAATCGCCTATACAACCTCCGTCATTAGTCTCGAAGTCGTCGTGACCACGCTCATCGCCGCGCGCATCCTACAGCTGCGGCGGTGGTACGACGTAGCCTCAGCGCTGCCTCAAAATAGAGTTAGCGCGGCGGCATACACCTACACAGGCGCGGTGGCCATCATCGTTGAGTCCGCGCTGCCTTGTACCGTGTTTGGCCTGGCGTACCTTGTGTCGTTCGCGATCAACAGCGACATTTCTACTCTATTCCTCTCTATCTACGTCATGTTCACGGTGAGTGTCTGTCTCGACTTACCCCCACGCGCCCAATGACTTACACCATTCTACTACCGCAGTGCATCTCTCCGCAATTCATCATTCTCCGTGCCCTGTGTGGGCGGGCGTGGACGCTTCGGATGACAGAAATCATTCTAAGCGGCGAGTCGACCGACTACCCGGACCGAGTGGCGATATTCTCCTCTGCATTCAGCGTTGATGCGAGCAGCACATCTTCACAGCTGTGCGGCCATGATAGCGAAGCATGCTCTCCACAAGCAGAAGTTCCCGTTCCTAGGATGTGACGCAGATCGGCAGTATTATAACTCATAATCATCTGAGCTCTTATCTCTTGTATCGATATACGGATTGTATTGTTATGTGTTCCATTTCCCATGGGTGACGCACTCATTCGATCGAGCCCGAGCCGGAACACTTTGATAGACACAGGGAACGACGGGACATTGTTACTGCTGGGATACCGCAGACGTTCTGCGGTACCTCTCGGTATGTCTCAAACACAGCAATGCACGTTCAGTTCCTGATATACGGCTTGAGTTGCGAGATGATCGCGCTTTTTTGGCAGCCCTTTCAGATGTTGCAGATGCAGGTATGGGAGAGCAGAAGCGTGTTGAACGAACCAGCGATTGTTCCCCCGAAGATGGGCGGAACGGAGAATACCGGGACTTCGGCGTGATTGATAGCCTTGTCAGTTTTCAGGAACATGAGACTGCCCTTGTTGCACACTGTTCCAACGTGCTCACGCCGCCCCGGTATGGGGACCTATGGCAATAACCGCAGGCTTTAAGGAGCATCCGGACATCGGCACATAAGAAGGTAATGCATCACGTTTCGTTCTATCTTGGTATCGTACATCCAAGCCCCGCTCCGAGATCGGTCTGGATAGCTCCTAGGCAGCCAGCGTCTGCTTGTACTCGGACCAATCCAGCCAGTTTTGCTCCATCGTCTCATACAGCGCCCGCGAGTCCCTGCACCTGTGCTCTCCCCCAGCCCTGACCGCAGTGAAGTTCTTGCGGAGGCTGTCCGCAGGCTCGAGCGTCGTGTCCGCGGAGCACAGCGCGAACTGGCGGAGGACGTTCAGGCAGCGCGCGACGTGCTCGACTTCGCGATAGCGCGTCGGCGGCTCGTTTTGTTGGAAGGTGGAGACAAGCACCTTCGCGCAGTGGAGTTGGTATGAGAAGCCAGTGTTGAAGAAGCGGTGGTTAGGCTCTAGGCGTATGTTGCCGTCCCCCCCGGGGCTCATGTACGTCCACTCAAGGTTCTTCTCGGGCTCCGTGAGGCCGTAGCGTACGCTTTCTTCCAGCAACAGACTGATGGATCTCTGTGCATTCTCTACAGGGAGAAACGCAGGATAATCGCCTTCGAGGAAGGCTGCATGGGTGGCTTAGGTCGAAAGATATCCGCATAATGCATGCATGCTTCCACATACTGTATTGAGTGAGCGGCGGATACCGCAGTGTAGCCACGCGCTTCGTTTCTCTCACGAACACCAGGTCGATACCGAGGTTTGTGACGAGCAGGATCAGCAACAATGCAAAAGATACGGGGAAGGGAAGGTGAAGCATGCAGGACGCTGAACGTCGAGGTGGTGGTGGTGAGAGACGAGCTCACCTATGCTCTGCTGTGATAGCCTCACGCCAGAGACCGCTCGTCTTCTTTTGGAGAAGAGACGATGGGGGCGGTGCTCTCAGCGCTGTGACTCGAGCGTTGAACACAACACGCCATTGCCACAGGAGGAAAACCTGCTTGAACTCGGGCATGAGAGGGCAGCTGGGACCATGCACAGTCACCACTGCTTGACGTGCGAAGTTCTGTGGCGAGAAAGGGGGACTAGATGTGAGTGATAAACACTTGATTCGATTCAAGGGAGATAGGCCTGTTTGTCGAGCTCGTGTACTCTCAGGAAGCTCAGATGAAATACATGGAATCGCGGCCCGAAGAACACTCGATCGCGCAAGAATCGATGGTGAAGGTCAGGCTAATGATTGTCGTACATGAGTTCGTCGGATTGTGTCCCCAAATCCGAGACGCCTAAATTACGTAATTGTCACTTCTACCGCAGCATACCGCAGAAGAGCGGCCTCATGCCCAAACCTTGGCCCAACCCTGAGGTTCTCCACTACCCAAGTCCGCTGTGTACAGTACACTATGACGAAGCCTCCGTGCACCACACCAGCGCTGCATTGCTTGTCTCCCCTTCACTAGCAAGTGAGTTTCCAGGCAGGCACTGGCGATTAGAAGTTAGTCACGGTGGCGCAATCTCAGCCTACCACAGCTCGCGCCAGCGACTACTATGCGACGTGTGTGCCAGGTACCTGCTGTTTCTTATGTAAATCCTCTGTCGAAGTATGCGATACCTGCGGCAGCCGATCGAGGCTTATATCACGCAGACTTCGGGTATAAAGACCGTCATGCACTCCGACCCTGTCTTGCCATCTTCTCCACTCCTCTGCAACGGACATATTCCCACCTCTAGCGATATTTGCGCTGACATATTCATAGGCTACTTGCATCATGAGTCAACCACGCGGCGGTCCGAGGGGTAGACCTGGAGCGCAAGGGCAGTCTCCGGGAAGGGGCGGCCGAGGCTCCTCCCCATCCCCACGAGGCAGGGCGAGCCCCGTCCCTGCTAGAGCAGTATACGGGGTTTCTCGCGGGCGTGGTGCTCGAGGTGATTCCGTCTCTACTCGAGGGAGCTCTCGTGGCGGCTCTCGTGGCGGCGCACCAGCGGAAGTCTTCGCGGCAAGCCAGCCCCCTAACCAGGATGCACGCCTGGCAGACGCGGAGCTCGACCGCCTCGTCCAGTCCTTCAAGAGCGTCAGGATCCCGCCGGACATGCCCCTCCGTCCCGGTTGGGGCACTCAAGGCGACCCTGGCGTGGTTCGGACCAACTTCTTCGCCATCAGGTTGCCCCAAAATGCGACGTACTACGAGTATGAGATTTCCATCCAGCCCAAGGCCCAAGCCAAGGGCGACAGGAGGTTCCGGATTATGCAGCTCGTCGAACAATCACCTCAGTTCCGACCTTACGTAGCGCAGGTCGCCCATGACCGCAGTCAACGTCTCGTTTCCATTCAACAACTACCCCAACCTCTTGAGATTCCTATCCGGTACCTTGAGGAGGATCAGGCTGACGACCCAAATGCGCTGAACTTCACAGTCGAGATGAAGTTACTCTCGAAGCTCGACATGTCCCAGCTTAATCAGTACGTCGTGCATTCTTTTCCAAACTCCCTGATCGCTGACACGCTTTGTAGGTACATGAGCGGAAAGCCGGAGCATAGGAACATAGACACGCAGCCACTACTGTCTGCGCTGAACCTGGTGGTACAACAGTACGCACAGCGGCATGGCGTCCGTGTTGGGAAGAACAAGTATTTCTTCCCTACTTCCTCAGAGCACCACACTCTCTCCCTAGGCGTCGAAGCCTTCCGCGGCTTCTTCATGTCAGTGAGGCCCATGTACAAGCAATTGATGGTCAACATCAACCTCTGCATGACCGCCTTCTACAATCCTGGAAAGCTCGCCGATGCTATGGATGCCTTTCAGAGGCAGTCGCGTGGCGGTATGCCGAACTCGTTCGCGGAGAAGCTGAAGGTGTCCACGAAGCATCTCGGGTATACTCGCAAGTTCACGATCTACCGCATCATGAACGGGAAGACGGCCCGTAAGGAGACCTTCGACTGTCAGGAGTTTGGCGGTAGGATCACCGTCGAGAACTTCTTCAAACGCAGTACGTCTGTCATCCTTCCGTCATATAATGTGCGCCACATGCTCACCCCTATGCTGCAGAATATAATATCACCTTGCGCCGCCATTCTGACCTTCCCCTCATCAATGTCAGCACCAATCGCAAAAAGCCCATCTACCTCCCGGCGGAGCTCTGCGATATTGTCCCCGGTCAAGCATATCGCGGCAAGCTCGACCGGGATCAGACCGCTGCGATGATCAAGGTCGCGTGCAACCCACCTGCCTTCAACGGCAACACCATCGTCGACCAAGGCTTTGCCGACCTTGGTCTTCGACCCAACGCCTCCGGCGCGACGCTTGGGACGTTCGGCATCAGCATCAGCCCGGACATGCAAGTCGTCCCGTACCGTCGTCTTCCCCCACCTGCGATCTCGTACCGCGTCGGGCGTCCTCGCGTTCAGGACGCCGGATGGAACATCCTCGACGTGAAGTTCCAAGTCGGTGGGAACATGACGAACTGGGCCGTCCTCCTCGTTCAGGATGGCCGCCGCGACGAGTTCCAGGGACCCAACGACCCCGCGCTCATCGCCTTCCTCAAGGCATTCCTCGCGAAGTGCAACAATAGCGGCATCCTCGGCGCAGACAAGCCGCCCCGAATCATGTCTGTAGACCTCCCCCGTCTTGACCAGGACACGCCGACTCGCGCTCAGGCGATCGCTGCGATCAGCAAGGTGTTCAGGGACAACCTCAATCCCAAAAAGAAGCCTAGCTTCGTTCTCGTCCTCCTTTCCGGCATCGACAAGTATATTTACCCGGGCATCAAGCAACTCGCGGATGTCGAACTGGGCATCCACACGATCCATATGCTGCTCACGAAAGCGCGCGACGACCGCGGGAACAGGCAGGACCAGTACTTCTCGAACGTCGCGTTGAAGGTCAACACGAAGCTCGGGGGAGTCAACCACCAGCTGGACGATAGGTCGATGCAGTGGCTCAGAGGTGTCGGTGGCAATGGCCCGGCGACGATGATCATGGGCATCGACGTGACGCATCCTAGTCCGCTTAGCCTTCCGGGCACCCCGAGTGTCGCCGCGGTTGTCGCGAGCGTCGATTCCCACTTCGCACAATACCCCGCGAGCCTTATGTTGCAAAAGCCCGATTGGAACAAAGAGAGCAAAGAGGTGCGTGTCATTCGTTCCAGCCCTGCGATGACGCTGAATACTTATAACCACTACAAGATGGTCGAAGGTCTGACGCAGATGACCATAGAACGTCTTCAACTCTATCAGAAGAAGAACGGGGGGAAACTGCCGGAACGGATCTTCGTCTTCCGCGACGGCGTCTCAGAGGTATGACATCACGGTGTCGCTCCCTACCATGACCTGATCTCTCTTCGTTTGTCATAGGGCCAATACCCTCAGCTGTTGAGCATTGAGCTCCCAAGGTTACAGGCGGCATTCAAGCAAATATCTCCTTTGAAACCCTACAAGCCAAAGCTCAGCATCATCGTCTGTGGAAAACGCCACCACGCCCGGTTCTGGCCAGTTGACTCTCAGCATGCGACGAGGAACGGCAACACGTTTTCGGGGACTGTCGTCGACAAAGGTATCACTGACGCCTACGACTTTGATTACTACCTTCAGGTGTGTGCCCGAAACGCTCTCGGTTCTCGCACTCGGAGCGTACTGACGCTGACGCGTGATTTTTAGGCCCACAGTGGCTTGCAAGGACACGTCAAAGCGACGCACTACGTTGTCGTGTACGACGAGAACAAGCTCGACGCCGATACAATCCAGCAGGGCACCCATACTGCGAGCTACATGTATGCACGCGCGACGAAGGCAGTCAGCCTCATCCCAGCCGCTTACTACGCCGACATCGCCTGCGAGCGCGGGCGCGAATACCTGAACGTTCTGATGAACGCCAGCGACGACTCCCGTTCGTCTGCCGCAGAAACTGCAGATAGGGAGGCGCAGAAGGAGGCGACATTCCAGAGCGCGGTGAGAATGTGGGGGAACGGCGTCAACAAGGAGTTGAAGGACACCATGTTTTACATCTAGCGGCGCTGAGCGAGGCTTGCTCACTGGTAGACCACATCTCCACATCCATCTGCTGCTTGATGCTGTCCTGTATTGCTTTCTTGGCCCGACCGAATGTTGTACTTGTATCATTGATGACGAATTCATATTCTTGGACTGATACCGCAGTCACATGCGCACCATTTAGGAAAAGCAGGACCATCGACGGGGAGCAGTCATACGCTAGCCCGCTCGACCAAGGAAGAACATATCTACATATCCCTTTGGGACTGAAACCTATCATAATAGAGGTGGTGCCAGTCTCGGCGTCGATCTTCGAGAGTAATTGTCGGCAAGCATCCAAGTAAACTGCTAGAACATTCAACAAAAGAGCAAGCGCATTCGTTACTGCACAAACGGATCCGAATTAAACCTCACTAGCTACTACATCCTGATCAATCGTGGAGAACGCTGGGTCGTTGACAGTCCGCAGTTCGATAGTAGCTCTCCAGTGTCCAGTGCCAGGTTCGACACTGCTATCCACAGCGCCCGGGTAAACAATGGCCGTCGTCAACAACACGCTCGCGGTTGAGCGCGTGACGGCATCCCGCGTCCAGGCATGGCCCATGAGAACTCGGAAGACGATTATCTGAGGCGAGAGGCACTGCAGGAACAGACCTCCGTCATTTAGCCCGAGATCTTCGCACACAGAGAAGTACACGCACCGCAAACATGACATATATAGACATGAACAAGATGGAAGTCGAGCTCTGCATCCCAAGCGCCACGAGGTACGCAAGACCTGACAGCGTGTACGGCAGTGCGGATTCGATGATTAACGTGGCTGTGTTGGTGTACGTGTGCGCGGCCTCCTCCCCGAGGGCGACCTCCAGACGTTTGGCAAGGAGCAGGATGCGTACACATATAAGTGTGGATACGAGGAAGTTGAGAGAGATGCCAACGGAGACGTATGCAAGTACCAATCTCTGTGACGCGCCAAAGAGTAAGATCGATTGGGGTCGATCAGAGACATACACAGCGAGGACTCCCAACGGCATTGTGGCTAGATAAATGATGAACGGGAGAATGATGACTCTGCCGTCTCCCCAAACGATGTAGCAGCGATACAGCTGACCACAGAGTCAGGGTGATCGAATACAGGACGGAACGAGAACATTGAGGACTCACCAGCAGACCATCGCTCATGGTATTTAGTACGAGGCTCGCCACACAGCCCACAATTTCGTACCACATCGGGACGACGTTGATGCCGAGATACCTCGGAGAGCCTTCCGCATTAACTGGATGCGCGATCCACATGTCTTGGCCCAACGCAGCTTGGGACACGACCCACAGGGTAATCGGGAGGAGCAGTCCTGTGCTGAAGAACAGCAGAAGACAGCTACCCCGCGAGGGCATGCCGTTCGCCTTGCCCCGCAAAATGATGCGAACGCTCGCAGAATATATCACAAGCTCAACTCCTGTATTTCGGGTTATGAAGTTAGCGATAGTTATATAGGTATCCTACGTACCGTAGAAGATGGTGTCAAGCAGAATACCCACGTAGTGGGATGTCTGAAATACGATGTTGTTGATGTACATCAAAGGAAGTCGTTGCAGCTGATCAGCTAAAGATTGAACTGCTGTCCACGAATGATTAGCTTTGCGGCGGTCGTCTCAAAATTGCCTTGGATCTAGACGACAAGCCGGGCGGGGAAAAGGGGAAGGCAGATCGAGCGCCACCGCTCTACCTACAAGCCTTATGTGTACGTCGTACGTGAGCGGCGTAGCCCTTAGAACGGCTGATGTCGACATTCGACCCGTCAGTCAGTTCACTTCGGATGGATCCTACCAAGGACTAGAACGCTGCGCGCAACTCGCTGCCTATGCATTGTGACGTGATCCGCGTGCTTCTAGCATGGAAACGTTAATCATGGTCTGCGCAGCGACAGGGCCGACTCTGACGGACGCTGTGCCATCAATGCTAGCCACGAGACGTTAGGGCAGGCTTATAGTAGAGAGCGTATAATCTACTTCTCTCCCCCGGATACTCGTTTTGTCGATGTGAGCTGTGAAAGTCCCGAAACTTACAGAGACGACGGTAACCGGGTTTCGTAATGCCTGCACGTTCCGGACGTGTCAGCTTGACAAACTCCTGGAACACCGCCACCTCCCCATGTCACTTTGCTGGAGGCTCGTCAGTACCCACGGGAATTTATTTTACTACGAAAGCGAGGTTCAGTAATAGACTTGCCCATGTACTAGTAGCCTTGTCATTCCCTGTTACTTGCATACGACGGCCCCTCCCGATCTCACTGGATGAGCTCCAATCTCTCGGTCGCAAATACCACCACGTGTCCCGCAGTGAAGTATATTCCATGGAAGTATCGCTGGCTTCTGGAGGGTGACGGCGACTCGGATTACGGCTTTGAAGCAATAATAGACACTTCGATGAACTTCCTCCCCGTTATCCCTGTGCGAAGCATGAGTAAGAAGTAGGAGGTCGGTAGTTAGTCAGGGATTTCAAGGATACGTGGAAAGTGAGTTTAGATATGTCTATGTGAGGTATTTCCTCCACCTATAACGGTATAGTAATGATTCCAAAACGCCTTAGGGCATCTGGAGCGATAAGTTGTAGTTGCGCCTACCGCGAGAGCGGCTTTTCCTTCACGAAGAACGCGGTGACTGTGGTCACCGCGCACAGCGTCGCCGTGTACCAGAACGCGGCCTGCAGGCCATCCCGGTACGAATGCACGACCTTCGCGCGCACCGCGGGCTCGAGCTGGTCCAAGTATCCGAGCGATTCGCGCACGCGCTTGATGATCTTCGCAGGACCAGCGGGTAAGCTAACGAGCACTGTCGGACGTCACACCAGAGTCTAACGCACCTCCTCAACGTCATGCCCTTCGCCCAAGAGCCGCCTGCGCAGACTATTGCGCACGACGTCGTTGGTGAGCGTGGTCCCCACCGAGAGGCCGACGACGGAGCCGAGCGAGCGGAAGAGGTAAGAGACGGCGGTGGCGACCGCCTGGTCGGCTGGGCCCACGTTTGCGATGAGCGCGACGAGAGTGCTCGTGACCCCTGCCCCGATGCCGATGTTGTTTGCGACGATACCTGAGGACAACAGACGTCAGCGTGACAGAGACGGATCGACACGGGAGGCTCGCACCGATCGAGAGCCCAGCTAGCGTGTACTTCAGCGGCCCGGTCACGAGCCCGACCACGACGTTGCCAGCGAACATCAGCGCGAAAGCCGAGATGGTCAGCACGTAGTACCTCCCCGTCGTCTGCATGATCAGTCCGGTCCCCAGACTGCCCGCGACCCCTCCGAATATGGTGGGGAGGAGGACCAGCCCGACCTCGCCCGCGCTCGCGCCCTGCACCGCTTGGAGGTACAGCGACACGCTGAAGATGAGGGTGAACGCAGCGGCGTTCGAGAACAGGTTCGCGAGGTAGCTCGCGATCAGAGACCCGTTCGTCACTATCCGCTTGGGGGCACACGGCTCGCGCGCCCACCGCAGCTCGACCACGACGAAAAGCAGGAAGAACGCAGCCGAGGACGCAAGCGACGCGACGGTTTTCTTGTCGCTCCACGAGATGTTCCCGCCCCGATCGAGTCCGAAGAGGAGGAGGAAGATCGACCCGACGAGTGTGAACGCGCCCGCAAAGTCGATGCGCGCGAACTTGGCGCGGAGGTCGCCCGTCGGGGAGCGGGGGAGGCGGAGAAAGATGCTGACGGAGAGGATCGCGAGGGCGGTCATGGGCACTTGGAGGAGGAAGGCCCAGCGCCAGCCGATGCTATCTGCGAGGAAGCCCCCAAGCGGAGCCCCTGTAGCTTGGCCGGCAGCCCAGGCGACATTTGCGATCCCTTGCAGGGTTCCTCGTTGCCTAAGCGTAGAGATGTCGGACATAATAATTGTGCCTACGCTGTCATATTTGTGAGTCTGCAGCGCAATCAAACTGAGCGCGATAAGGGACTGACGTCTGCATTCCACCGCCACCAATCCCGGCAAGTGCACGGGCAGCGACGAGTTCGGTCATATTCCGTGCGAGACCGCAGAACAGGCATCCGAGGGCGAAGATGATGTAGGCGAAGAGTAGACATGATTTGCGTCCGAAGATGTCACTCAATTTGCCGTACAATGGCCTGATACAGCCTGCTCGTGAGCTAGACCAGTGCCAGGACTGCTCAGGCTGCTTACTGAAAGCTAGTTAGGGAGAGCATGTAGCCGGTCGCGATCCAGCTGGTGCTCTGCAGCTGCTCGAACTGGCTACCGATCGAAGCGTATGTCGACGTGACAATCGTCCCGTCCATGGCGACGAGGAAGATCCCGAGGAGCATGGGTGCCATCTAGAGTGGATATAATGTCAATAACATCAAGTGGGTCCGACTTGCAAGCATCAACGCGAGAGAAGGTGAAGACCTATGTACGAGGCGCTGCGGGCTGCAGTGCATCAAGAGAAGCATCGCTTCGCCTACCACACTCGAGATGCTTCCCTGCGCGGATCCGAACACAAGTCCCGAGATCGCTGGACGCGCACGCGTGATCCTGTAACAGAATCTTAACAGAACACGGACTTACTACGGCGACGAGGGAAACTTGAGGCTTGACCGGTGCCTCATCTGAGCCCACATTGACGTCCACAATATCCTCTGTTCCAACGACTGTGCTGTCTCTTGAGACTGGGGTGTCAGTGCCAGTGTCGCTGCCAGCAAGAAGCGGCGTCCGCTCGTTTGCAGATTCAGTAATCGAGCGTGCCATTGTGCGGTCCGACGTGGCAAGTCCGAGAGAATCCTGAGTGCAGGGCCCGTGCTCAGTGTCCACGCCCGCCAATGTTGATAGCAACTCGGCATAAGCTCGCCCTCGCAAGGATTGACGGGATTCGGATCCCGATGTCCCGGAATTGCCACAACTGGGACCAGGTCATCGAACCGGATCATTTCGCCCAGGATGAGCTGAGTCGAGATCACAAAAACCAACCAGACTGGCGCAGTTTGGGCAGCCGTGTTGTTCTGAGCATGGTGTTTTGGATATTAATATCCAAAGAGGTTTTCCCGCGGGATCCGATATGGTGTAACGGCTAACATTACCGCCTTTCACGCGGTAGCTCGGGGTTCGATTCCCCGTATCGGAGTGCAGAGCGTGGCATTACTGTTTTAGGAATTTTTCACATTTCTACGTTTCAGAAGTGCCCTATGTTACCTGCATAAAACGTACGCAGCGCTCAGAACACTTGTAGTAGCCGTAAATTGAGGCTAAGCGTCGCATCCGGCCAGGCCTGGTCATATGACACCGTACAAGTCAAGACTCCAAACAAGGGTCGCCCTATTTCCACCCATAGAACCACTGTATGCGCTAGCGATGGCACACTCAAGTGGGCTGTAGCCAACAGGAATCGATGATTTCCTGGCAAGTCTTGATTCTCCAGGGGCCGGTCGACCGCCGGAGGACATTTCGGATACTACTGCTCAGAGTTCGCTGAGTCTCGTAGCCGCCTGGATGCCGCATATTCGTTGCCCAAGCCACCGCGTATCCGTTACTGGTTTGTCACGTCCCACAGCCGACAGGTTGCGCTCGCAGCCTTTTGCATGAGAGCGGCAGCATGCCCAGCGAAGTACTAGTTTTGCGAGAGTATCCGGGAAGCCTATGTACGGGCAGAACATATTCCCGTAAGCTGCACGAGAGGGTTCAATCTGCACTCATTTGGGTAAGGTGTGTGGCTTGCCATCGTGGGCACGATGGGAGGGTCTACTGTACTACTAGTACCACTCTCTCAAGATACCAACCAAAAGCTCAGTTGGAGCCCTGTGAGTGAGAGCGTTCGCATTCTGGTACTCGCATTGACTGGGCTCGATCGCGATGAGCTGAATGGGCCGGAGCCACTCACCGCTGTTCTCAGGTCGTGGCATGTCTGCCTATCGGCTGACATACTTGCGATTGTATCCATAGCGAGGTGGCTCTACCCGAGTGCAGTATACCACGTCGCTCTGTATGAATGCGGGATGCCAATATGAACACTCACCACGCCCGCAATCGTCCCCAACTATATGTACGTGGAAAGGCTAGGATTGCTGACGCTGATAATGCCGCAAGACTCTGGAATGGGATCCACACCGCACAAACACGAAGCAGTGGTGCGCTCTTACAGGCTATGAGACATGTGAGGGTATCCGGGTGCTGATTGCAACACAGCGGGAAGTGGATCGACCGGTAAATGATTATCAATACGTACTACTACACTAGCTCTCAAAAATATGGATGGTTTGCTGCCTGCTGCCAGAAATATGAAGGCATAGAACATGGCTGAGCGGTTGCGAAATTTCTGGAAAGAAGGGTCGCTACGCACAGATCCAGGAGGTACGGTCATGACGACGCGCGGGAGGGGGCACCAGCCCGCTCCGAGGAGCGAGTAGCGATGTTGAAGAAATGCTGGCCGGTGAGGCCACCACGGGGGAGCTTGCCGTAGAGCTCCTCGTTCAAGTCCTTGGGAGAGACGCGGACTTGCGTGGAGACGTAGGGTTTGAGCTAACAAAGGGGAACAACGGACGCTCAGAGCGGGGACGGGGAGCAACGGGAAAACATACGCACTGCAGATGCCTGGATCTCCTCTATAGGGGGCGCAACAAACACCCGAACCTGCTCATCGACCAACCGGTACTTCGCCTTTCCGCGAACGACGTGCTTTCCGGGCGCGCCCGTGCGGTGTCCACCAGGGAGGAAGGCCTGGCGCGTACCTGTCGTGACGGGGATGAGCTCGGCGAGTACAGCTGCGTGTTGCGAGATCACACTGACCCTTGTAGTAGTCCTTATTGCCGCGTTTGGGCGTGAGTGCCCGGCGCAGGGCTTTTGAGAGGACGGGGTTCGTCGGGAACATGGTCGTCGACGGGAGAGCTGGCGGCGTTGTGCACCAAGCGCCCGGTGCAGATCCCGTAGGCGCGCGCTCCTATGCAGATTGCCGCAGCAGACACGGCAGATTGTGGGGAACCGCGCGCGACCTTGATCCTTGACCATCATCCAATCTAAGCTGATCAGCGTACACACTCGTCGGACGAACACACATATATTATGCCAAGACCAGGAGGCCGCGGCAAACGAGGAGGTCGCGTGCTGAGAGGAGGGCACGCGCAGAGAGGGAAAGGTCAAAGACGATTCGAAGATTCGCGTCCGTACTCTCCCATCGGCCTCGCAGAACGTCCGGAAAGTGCAGTGGACGAACCGGAGAGCAGCGAGGGCGAGAGTGAGAGCGAACCCGGTTAGTCCTCTGAGTCTACGAAGGACACATGCGGCGGTGAGTTTTAATGAGAATGCCGGTCATGTGCTAGAGGAGAAGGTAGACATCGACGTCCCAGTGGCCATGTGGGTACGTCTATTCGGACATATTGTGTGGAAGTTCGAGAGCTTATTTGGGCCGTAGGATTTTGACCACTGCGACCCCCGACGGTGCTCAGGCAAGAAGCTCGCGCGTCAGGGTTTGATCCAGACCCTTCGCGTCGGGCAGAAGTTCCGAGGAATAGTCGTATCGTGAGTCTCATGTGTGTTATGCTCTTGCTTGTACATTCACACTGAGCATCTATGCTCTCGAAGTCCGAAGGGTACACAGCCTGTCAGCCCAGCGGACAAAGACATTGTGGCGCAAAGCGGCCTTGCGGTGGTTGAGTGCTCATGGGCACGCTTGGAGGAAGTCCCCTTCAACCGAATAGCTAGTCCACATGAACGACTCCGTGAGTATTACTTCGCATGTTACTGCAGCATTGGTAAGCTTTCGTGTACACCCCAATTGTGTGCTGTGTATCTGCGCCACCAGTGTGGCTTCCTCGGTGATGGAAATCATTCGCTCCTTTAAGCTGATAAGGTCCTACTGTTCTGTATGAGCATCGGAAAAGTCCGTATAGCGCTGCAGTCGAGCACTGTGAGTGAAGTGATCATGACTTTGTGTTAGAAAACTCGCATAGATGGCGATTTTGAGTACTCCTCTCAAGAATCAAGTCAGATCGGTTTCAAGAGTCGTTTCCGCTGGCTAGTCTCCCTGCGCAAACATGTACTCACCTCACCTGTCCGAATAGTACCCTACCTTGTTGCGACCAACCCCGTCAACTATGGCAAGCCATGGCGTCTGAACTGCGTCGAGGCACTAGCCGCGACATTCTACATCACAGGATTCGACTCATATGCAGAAAGGCTCTTGAGCGGATTCGGGTGGGGCCATTCGTTCTGGGAGGTCAACCAGTACGTCTATCCTCTGACCTCCTGACGATCTCTGTTTTTGCCTTTGCACCCCATTCTACCTCTCGCGCCCGCAATGACGTCTTAAGCCTTCCCGCTGCATATTTGTACCGGGCGTCAGGAAGACAATGCTGACGGAACGTTCTGCAGACACCTGTTGGAGCAATACAAGACTTGCGAAAGCGCGGAGGCGGTGAGCGCGATGCAGGAGAAGATTCTGGCGGACTTGGAGCAGAGCTACGACGAATCGAGGCGCACGTCAGGTGAGTCCCCGAACCTCAGCCTGCCCTTTGCCCATCCTGCCTTCTGCCGGTTTCGGTCGCGGTGGCCTCCAACGGCCGCGAATCTCGACACGAAAGAATGTCTATGACGGTGGTCGACTTGTGCGAGCGTGATATCATATTCGGGACTTCGCCAACCAGGAGGCGGAAGCATGTGTTAAACCATCGCGTGGTCCTCCGTGCGCCCGCGTGGTCATGCGGAGCGCCTCCAAGAATCGAAGTGGCGTAGACAGCTCCCGAGAGTCGTTCGTTCGTTCCAGTCGGTTCCGTCCCACGGAAGGATGTTGATGCCGCTAGCTCATCTTCCAAGTCTGCGGATGCTGTAGATGGGATTTGACACGAGAGACCCTGGAACGTTGTCGCTGACATCTGCTCGGTAGACGCGGTGGACGGAGAGGACCTGCTTGTGCCCAACCCGAATCATCATTACGTCCCCGAAAGCTCCAGCGAAGAGGAAGAGCACGACGACCGTGGCGATGGCGAGGAAAAAGAGGACGACGAAGATGCACACTGATTGCACGCCCTTCGCATGTGATTTTTAGGCTGAGCTGACTTCCGGGTGCGTGTACTGCACGTCTTTCCGAATCCCGTAATAGCGCCTTCAGCGGACGCTGATCCACGAGCAGAATGTTCAATTTGTTATCATGATTGACGTGCGTAAGTAAGTACTGTAACCGTATCGATATCGTTGTATGGGATGCAAGCAGAAGTCAAGCGAATCGCGCGCTAGCCGAGCCTTATCGGGGTCGCGTTTTCCTCGTGATTTCGCCATTCCGCTTCACGTCCGGGGGACGAGCGGGTCGTCTGCTATACGCGTGCCACGGCGCGCGCGCCCAACAAATTTCTGCGAGGCAAGGCTGGACCAACCTGGATGGATATGTCGCGGGCATTTCGTGCAGTATATCTACCGACCGCTATCGAGGCGTGCTCGGTTTGCCGCCGCCGCCTCTCGTCGGTGCGTCCCCACAAATGTCTGCTCTGCAAAGCACTCGCATGCCGTCTTCCTGCCCCGTCCCGCTCCGAGTCTCCTCTGGCCACCCGAACCCGACGGACGTGTGCATGGGAGCGTGCGAGCACGCGCGCGGGCTGCACGACTGCGTTCCGTTCCCACTGGCCCCTCCGAACCTGGACCTTGCTCGATTTGACAACTGCAGTTGCCGCCGCCACTGAACAGGGAGGGGTCAGATGCCCATGCCCGCGCACGTCCCCGACATTCTTGTGGTCCCGTGTCCAGGTGTACCGTATCCGCTGGGTGGTTAGACGGCTTCGGCGGCCGCGGCAGGCCCGCTCTCGTCCGCATACATACGTGAGTGATTAAACGCCCACTGCACCCGCGCGTACATGGACTCATGCTGAGACTGGCGCGGAGCGTCTCCTCATCTGTTGCGAGGCGTAGGTTTGATATTCGACGTCTGCCGTTGAGGTGAACGGAGACAGTGCCGCCGCCGTGGCGTGCGCGCGTGCACGCAGCGGTGCAGGTCCCTTCTCCATGCGCGAGTAGTTTTCAGCCCTCCCAGTCGCTGCAGCGCCTCTGAGAGTCGGCGAGGGTGCGCGCGCCGCGTACAGTAGACTACCTCATAATGCATGAGGTCATATCTGATGATGCATATCGCCGCAGAGGCCCCGGGCGGGTACCAAACCAACGCTTCACATTCGACAGGCCGTCTACTAATGCATAATGTCCCATAATGCATACAGAAATGGGGGTACCGACCCTATGCATTATGAGATAGTCCACTGTATCTGCTTCGAGGAAGCGGAAGGCACGGTTATGGCAGGTGTTCGACTCCCATGGCTCTGCTCCCGACGTCTTCCTGTGCGACGATGGGGACGGTGATGGGTGAAAGTGAGATTGGGCGGCGGCTGCTCTTTCGCGTTAATCCAGCCGGTACGTCGCCGCAGGCCGGCCTGGCCGATTCCCGTTCTCTTTTTTCGTTGCTGAGTTCGCCGTGGTATGGCGGCCGGAGGCGCACAACGGGTACGTACAGTGGCTATGGTTTGATCTTCCACAGGCGTCGCCGACGGCGTGCTGACGTCCGGGATATTTTCGAGCGCGGCGTGCGTGCATCGCGTAATTCCCGTCGAGCAATGTCCATGCCGTGCCGTAACTCCCCATGGCGACATAGACGGTGAGTGTGCGTGCATGGAACTATTGTGATCGCATGCTTCGAAGTCTCAGCTCATGATACTCTTCTGGCAGTTCGTCTTCCGGGCGGAGGGACGCACGGCCTGTTCCACTATTCAACTATTCAACTATTCAACTATTCAACTATGGGCACGCCTTTGTTCTGTCAGCCGCTTCGCGAGGAGCGTACCCGCTTTTGCTCCCGCCCCGAACCGCTGTGGGCAAAGGAAGGAAGGAAGAACGCGCTGTCACAGATGCTTTTGCCACCGCTCGGCTCCGCGGCCGCCGGTGGCCCTACTCCCGACAGTCTGGCTGTAAACGGCAGTGCCAGTTCCGAGACGGGAGTGTCACTCGGGAACGGAAGATGGAAGCGAGAAGGTCGAGGTGAGCGCTGATCGGGACGGGTTCGAGCCCCCGTCGTCGACCGTGAACCTGTCGATCTCCTGGCCGCCAGCATGGACCTGAGCGGGTGAGTTCTCCCGCGCGTGCGGCGGCGGCGTGTAAGGAATCGGCGGCGGCGGACAGTCCGCAGGCGTCGGTGTCGAGCAAGCTGCCTTCGGGGGGTGAGTAGACTGCTGCATGTGGATGTCGTGTGCCCCTCCCGGCGACGGTGCGTGCTGTGCTATGGTTAGTCTGCCCTACGTGGGAAGACGCGAGCAAGGACAGCTGGCGCGGGAGCGATCCCGTTTACATTTACACATCACGCTCTCGCGAGCTGCTGGTAGGTCGCCGGGCCCCCGGGGGCCCGGAGACGACGGAGGTGAGTCGGCCGTGCGCGTCATCAACTATTGGCTATGTGCGTGTCTCTGACCGCCCGCGCACCTCCAGCTGCGTAGGGTGGTATTTGCGACGGGGCCCGAGGGCGCCCTTGATGCTCGTGCAAGACAAGGCGCGACGAACAGACGCATTCCGTCATCCTGCGCGCGGAGCCCCGCCGTCGAACGGTACGCACCGTGCTTTCCTCTCGGTGCTCCCGATGCTGCTTTTCACATGGGAGGGGCAGGCCTGGCCGAAGATGGGCACGAATGCGGTGTGAGGCTGCTGTTGCGCTCCACGTCGAGGGTCATATGCCCGTGCCAACCAGCGCGATGGTGCGCATCGGGCGCGGGGGATCTGCGCGCGCATACGCTAGCATGTACGGGGGAACAGCACCCGGAGGACTCACATCTTGCCCTTGACTTGGGTAGGTCGATTCGGGCCCCACGTCCTCGAGGCTCCTCGCGCTGAGATTGGTCAAATATGTTCTCGTGAACGGCGCATGACTGTCCCTTGCTAGATTCCTTGCAAGTAAACGCCGCCGATGGATTGCGACTCGTTTTGTGAAGACGGGTCTGGAGGTGCCTTGCGACGTTTGGAGCACGACCATGTACCAAAACAGCCGCGTCAACTTCGTTGTGCAATCGAATCGACGAGTGACGAGGTGGCTGCGAAGGGCGCTGAATTTTGACGTGTCAAATCGTTGCAGCAACAGGACATGTCGCTAAGCCAATTGGAAGTGGCGCTTGTCCACGAGGCTCGCACGACGTCTCCACGCGGGGTCAGACGGATCTCATGGTGGCTCACAGCAGAGAGTCCCTCCGCTGCTCCGCAACGTCTGCCTGGTTGTGCTGACTTTGCTGATATCCATTCCCCTGCAGGGTGCAGAGACGGACTTCGAGCAGCGATGTACATACTATCAACCCGGGTGGGACGAGCTAAGCATCCAATGGCGAGCGAGGTACGCGTTTCAATAAATCGAGTCTTACCCCGCATCGATGGGCCCATCAATTCATGATCGCGCATTGATCCCCCGCGCGAGAGACGAGGTGCCAAATGCGGTATGACGCTTCCCCAGAGGGTCACGCGGCGGGGGAGGCGCCCTGGCGCCTGTTGCGCTGTTGCGGGGTCGCGCTCCCTGCGCAGAGGGAACAGGACCTGGGGTTCGTCCTCAGATCTCAGAAGCCACAGAAGCGCGCTGATCCCATTCGTGATTCCTCCCAGCCAGTCATGTCATGAGAACGCAGCCCACCGCACAATTTATGCCAACATGCGTCGCGTTTGGTACTTAGCCGAGCCCTCTCCTCCTTCCTCCTCTTCCTCCTTCGTTGTGCTCCTTCGCCTTCGTCCGTTTCAGCTCACTTCGCTGCGCATTCCCTTCTCTCCACCCCGACTCCGAGGATTCGGACCAAGGGCCGTACGCGTACGCCAGCAGAAGCCCTCCGTCTGCTGCGATGGAGGAGACCCGGGGAGACGGCGCGCACCCTACGCAAAACCCGTTCGGTGAGTCCGCCCGTCCGCCCGCTGGCGACGTCGACGCGCCCCGTTCTCTTCGCTCGTCCGCTCCTCCTTTCTTTGTGTTCGCCTACGCCGTGCGCGTGCACATGGCAGACGCGGCCGTCGTTCTCACGCACCGCTGCCGTTGCTTATAGCTTCATGCTTCGCGACCGTCCGTCTGCACCCGCACACGACGCAACTGCTCCCGGCTGCCGCGCAGGTTGTCTTGTGGCCTGCTATGGTCTGCGTCTGCGCATCCCTGCGCCCCGTCCGTGCGTTGTTACTCCATCGCAGTGGGGACGTCGCTCAGGCAGGCGTGGCCGGGAGTGCGGATCGCGCCCATATGGTTTGCGTGAATGCCCATACGCGGTGTCGTCCGCGCCCTCCGCCATCCCACGTCACGAATAGCACTCTGGGAAGTTGCATGGCCGACGTCCGGGTCATGGACGCATTCCATTCCGGCTGCCGTCTGCTGGATGATGGATGCAAGGAGGGCAGATGCATTGACGCGCCGCTGTCGTCGCTGCCAGATAGTCGTGTGCGATGCCGGACACCGTGGTTTGACAGCGCCCACGCGGGCAAGCGACGATCTCGTCGCATTGAGCTAGCACCGCGACGGTTTGTTCTGTGCGCTGTTCATCCAGCGTGATGAACGGGCGCAGAGAAGGATGGACAGTGCCTGTGCTGGATTTAGACCAAGTTCGCAGGCTTCGACCGGTACGGCGAAGACGCGACTGCAATTTTCTGTGATTCCCTTCTTGATCTCTGCGCACCCGGCGTCGGTGGTAATTGCGATACGTAGCCTCGCGCTCTCGTATAGTTTAGGTTTGACAGCCTTCTTGGACCGTATGCTCCACGTCTCTTCTCCGGTCACTCGCCTCTTGCGGGAACCCTCGCTGACCGCACCCTCTTTCTGTGGGTCTCCTCGGCTACAGATGACGCACATGCGCGAACAACGCCCGCGGGAGTGCACCCCTATTCTAGTCCTGCGGCCTCGTCTGCAGCTGTGAACACCTCAGCGCCTGCGACTGGGGCAGCTGGTGAGAAGATCCGCTCGGAGGACGTGCCGCGCGAAGTGCGCGAGCTGCCCCCGCCGAAGAAACCGAAGAAACCGCTGTGGAAGCGGAGGTGGTTCATCATATCGCAAATCGTCGCAGCCTGTCTCGGTATCGCCATCCTGTTTATTTTGCTCTACCCGGTCATACATGCCATCGCGCAACATATCTTGAAAGTCTCGGTTCTCCACGTCGACGCGGCGCAGATCACCAGCGCGACCAACAACTCGTGAGTTTCCCCTCATGTTCGTCGGTTTTGGAGTGTAGCCTTACCGCGACGACATGCAGCTTCACGCTCAGGCTCGACTCGTGGGTCTCGCACGCGAGCATTTTCAAGGCCACGATCAAGTTCAACGAGCCCCTCTCCGTCGCGTGGTACAATGCCTCCGGCGACCGCGTGCCCATCGGTGCTTTCCAGCTGGAGCCGTTGCGCGTGCGCCACAAGCGGGCGTACATCAACCAGACCGTCGCGTTCAACATCACCGACGAGCACGCGTTCTCGCAGTTCACGCAGGCGATGATCACCCAGCCGAACTTCACGTGGCACCTCTCGAGCAACAAGCTGGAGGTGCAGGCGCTCAAGTTCCCGAAGGCGCACGGGCTGCACTTCAGCAAGGACGTCACGCTCAAGGGCATGGACAACTTCGCGGGGAACGTCGAGCTGGTCGACTTCCAGCTCCCCGCGGACGACCCGAAGGGCGGGATCGAGTTCGTCGCGACGACGGGCCTGAGCAACCCCTCGGCGTTCGACGTCGATCTCGGCACGGTCTCGTTTGACCTCTCGTACAAGGGCGTCTACCTCGGCACCGGCGCAGGCCCGAACACGGTCGTGCGCCCGGGGCCGAACAACGTCACGCTCAAGGGCACGCTCGTGCCGCAGAACGGCACCGAGAACCTCGCGACCGTCTCGGAGCTCTTCACGAACTTCCTCAACGGGGACGTGTCCGACGTCGTCGCCGCCGGGCGGTCCTCGGTGCAGGCCGACGGCGCGGTCGTGGGCTGGCTGAGCGACGGCCTGACCGCGCTGCAGCTGCACGTCCCGTTCAAGCACACCGCGGGCGCGATCAGCCCGATCAAGAGCATCGCGATCGGGGACATGGCGCTCGCGTTCACCCCGGGGACGGCGTGGGCGCCGCTCATGGACTCGCGGACGGTGCGGGCGAGCATGGAGCTGCCGTTTGGGTTCGGCGTGAGCATCGGGCAGATCGCGAACAGCTTCAACATCACGAAGGGCGGGGCGGTCGTCGGGGGGCTGTCTACGGTGCGTCGCGCGTGTTCCGACCAGCGAGGGGCAAGGGGCTGACGTGCGGTGTGGTGTGGGGCAGCCGGAGAGCGCGTCGACGAGCGAGATCCACGTCGTGAACTCGACGTTCACCCAGGGCACGATCAACATCACCATCGACAGCACCCCGCTCGTGGTCCCCGACGGGTCGCACCAGGTCTTCTCTGGCTTCAGTGCGTCGTCCCCTTCTGCTGGTTTTGTTGCCGTTCCGTGGCTGAATGAACGCGCGCGCGCGGGGGGTTAGATCGGAACCTGACGGACAGCACGCAGCTGCCGTTCCAGCTCGAGGGGCACGCGCGCGCGGTCGCGAACATGAGCATCGGGCAGATCACGCTCGACCCGATCAAGTTCAACGTGACGAGCGGCCTGGACGGGCTGCAGGGCTTGAACAATCTGGTGGAGATCGGGAGCGTGGACGTCGTGGGCGGGTCGACGGAGGCCATTCATCTCAGCATCCCTGGTGAGCTATCATCGCGCTCTGGCATGTGGTGGCGGTTGGGGAGTGCTGAATAGAGCGTGGTGCGCAGTGAACATCACGAATCCGTCGAACTTGCAGTTGTCGACTGGCAATTTGAGTGGGTGCCGGTTTCTTTCGTTAGACGACCTTGGACGGGCAGTGTGCTGACGGTGGTATGAATGTGCATAGATCTGCAGCTCTTCCGGGGCGACGCAGCGATGGGCACGACGCTCATGCCGAACCTGACCCTCCAGATGGGCCACAACTCCCTCATGGCCCAGGGTAACTTCACGGTACGTCCCGTGCCCGCCTTCTTGGTGACTGCCACAGTTCTAATCTACCGTGTCTTCCAGCCGAACGGCTCGCCCCAAGGCATCCAGACGCTCAACGACTTTGTCGGCGGCTCGGACGTCGAAGTCCTCATCTCCGGCTACAGCCAGTCCACGGCCGTCGGCTCGCTGCTCGAGGCGTTCGAGAGCCTGAACATCACCGCGACGCTCCCCGCGCTCAAGTCGAACCTCCTCAACTCGGCCTCGCTCGAGGTGCTCCCGTCGACGGGCCGCGCGAACGACCTCGCGCACACGACGGTCTCGCTCGCGAACCCGTTCACGGCGGATCTCGTGATCACGAGCGTGCAGTCGAACGTGACCTTCCACGGGATCACGCTAGGGACGATCGACCAGGAGGTGCGGTTCGCGTCGAAGGGCAAGTCGACGACGGACCTGGAGAACCTGGACTTGGTCATGAACATGGACCCGCAGGCGCTGTTCACGGTCACGCGGGTGCTCGCGCAGGATGCGGGGCTGGACACGGCGCAGCTGGACGCGATCGTGCAGCTGGGCGGGTACCAGTACCTGAACAACCTGACGGCGAGCGTGCGGAAGCGCGATAATAATCTGTTCACGTGCGCCGTTTCTCCTTCCTCGGGTGTTTGCTGTGGGCTGACACGGTGGGGGTAGTGGGTTCGACCTCCCGACGTACGTCGACAAGGCGTTCGCGAACCTCACGTCGGACGTCAGCCTCGTCTCGGGGCTCACGATCGGCGACTACCAGACGACGCTCACGTACACGCAGCCGGGCGTGCAGGTCAAGACGGACAAGAGCCTGAACTTCATCCTCCCCGTGCTCGCGCAGCCGATCGTGCAGAAGATCGTGACCGGGTCCGTGCTCGGGGTCGAGACGGTGCTCATCAAGGACATCAAGGAGGACTCGTTCGGGACGACGCTCAAGGGGTCGATCACGAACGCCGGGCCTTGTACGTTCTCTTTCTCCGATTATGTGTGTGAGTTGGGTTCGCTGAACCTCGGATCGCAGTCGACGCGAAGATCGCGTTCCCCGAGGGCCTCGTCATCGAGTGGAACGGCAAGGCGCTGGGCAGCATGAACATGCCGGAGGTGAACGTCGTGGCGGACGTCGGCGCGACCTTTGAGGTCGACACGACGTTCAGCGTGGCGGACGTCGGCCACCTGACGGACTTCACGAAGGTCATGCTCACCGAGGAGTCGTTCGAGTGGGTGATCTCGGGCAGCAACCTGACGGTGTCTGCCATCGGCATCGACACGACGGGCGTCGCGCTTTCGGACAAGAGGGTGACGCTGAAGGGTATGAACAGCCTGAAGGATGGGGTGAAGATCAACAGCTTCGACCTGCCGAGCAACGACCCCGCTGGTGGTATCCACCTCACTCTTAATACCAGCGTGACGAACGTATGTTTCCGGTGCTGTTCCTCGGCGCGTTCTGATATGCTGATGCCATTCGTTGCCTTGCAGCCATCGCAAGTCGGCGTTGCGCTCGATTCGATCGCCTTCCAGAACTTCTTCCAGAACGTCAACATCGGCCCCGCCTCGTCAGGCAGCGCGTTCAGTCTCTCGCCGCAGACGACCGTCGAGCTCCCGCTGACTGGCAGGCTTGTCCCCCAGAGTTCTCAGGACGACCTTGCTGCTGTGTCGCTGATGTTCAACAACTTCCTGCACGGCAAGGACAGCAACATCACCGTTCAGGGTGACGGTGCCGGTCCGACTGATGTGAGCTTCCCTGTCCGATTGCCTCGGGTCTGCATCTGACAGTACCTTTCTTCAGGTTACTTGGCTCAACGAGGGGATCAAGGCTCTCACCATCCAGACCATTCTCCCGAACCAGGGCGTGCTGGACATCATCAACGCGGTCAGCCTGAACGAGCTCGACCTCCGCTTCACCGAGGCCACTGCGTTCGACCCTGCCATGGGCAGCGACGACACGATCGCCAAGTTCTCGCTCCCCTTCAACTTCCCCGTCGACATCGTCGCAGTCGCGCAGAACATCACCGTGGGCGCAGACGGCACGGACTTTGCAGAGCTCGTCATCCCCAAGGGCCCGAGTACTACGGACGTCGAGCAACGGATCATCCACCTCACCTTCTCGCAGATCCCCTTCGCGGTGCTCGACGGGCAGCGTGCTGCGTTCGAGAAGTTCCTTGCGACGACCGCTATGTCCGCGAACGTCACGATGTCGCTCAAGGGAAACGCGAACACGGACGCGGACACCGCAGTCGGTGTGCTCTCCCTCACAGATATCGCGTTCGACGTGCAGACGTCCATCGCCGGCCTTCAGGGCCTGAACGCGAAGCCCGCCGAAGTTACGAGCCTGGACGTGAACCACGGCTTCCCGGACTACCTCTTGATCAAGGTCACCTCGTCGCTTTACAACCCGTCGAACATCACCCTCGGTTCTGGCGACGTTGCCTTCGGTCTCCAGTTCGACGGTGACACCATCGGCGAAGCCGACTTGTCCAACCTGATCATTCTGCCGGGCAACCAGACCTACCCGATCGATGTTCACTACCAGCCTCAGGGCAGCGCTGTCGCCTCTGGCCAGAAGATGCTCGAGAACTACCTCCAGGGCGTTCTGTCTGCGACCACGATCCAGGGCTCTACCGACGCGACGCCTATTGAGTCCCTGCAGCTCGCGCTTTCCGAGATCAGATTGTCGCCTGTGAACATCCCCCCGCTCCACCAGAACCTGATCACGACTGCGTCGCTCGTCTTCCCCACGAACATCGCCCAGACCGGTCTTGCGCAGACGTCGTTCACGCTCGCCAATCCCTTCACGGCGAGCATCAACCTGCTCGAGGTCACCGCGGTTGCGACGTTCGGGAACTTGACGCTGGGCAAGATCGACCATGTCGACCGCTCGGGCGACCCCATACATGCCGACGGCCATGCGAACATCTCCTCGCCCACGCTGCCGTTCGCGTTCAACTTGGACCCGGTCATGATCATCGAGCTTCTCTTTGCTGGCGCGCAGAACAACCACGTGGATCTTGGACCCCTCCCGGACGTGTTCCAGATCGTGCTTGCTAACCCAGGTGCGAAGACGAACATCAACGTGACGGTCGACACCGGCAAGCCCCCATGCGCCAGCGGCAAGCAGTTCGACGTCAACGACGCGATCCTGAACTCGCTCAAGAACCTCGTTGTCGAGCTTGGCATCGATTCGGCGGTCAAGATCGACGACTACGCGACGGACCTCGCGTTCAACCAGAGCAACGTCAAGGCGATCACGGACGATACCTCACTGTACCTCATTGGCGTCGTCGCGCCTCCTATCGTGCAGACGCTCGTAGACCAGTCGAAGCTCACTTTTGATGCCGCGAACATCACCAACATCTCGGACGACGGTTTCGATCTCGCGCTTAAAGGCTCGCTCACTGGCACTGGACCGTTCGACGCGCAGATTACCTTCGTGGAGCCCGTCACTGTCACCTGGCAGGGTAGCGACATCGCACAGATCGCTCTCCCACCCGTGTGCGCGTCGGCCAACGTGGGCGCGCCTGACTACGAGACGAGCGCGAGGCTGACGATCACGGACAACGGCAAGTTTACCGACTTTGCGACGTTCTTGCTCCACAACGAGGAGTTTACGTGGACCATCTCCACGGACAAACTGCGCCTGACTGCGCTCGGGGAGACCTTCGACGGGGTCAGCCTCAAGAAGGACATCTCGTTCAAGGCGTTCAACAACCTCCCGGGTGTCACGATCTCCAACTTCCAGCTCCCGTCCGACGACCCTGCTGGCGGTATCCACATCGAGACGGACTCGATGATTCCCTCGCCTGCACAGCTTGGTATCGACCTCGGCACCGTCACCTTCGAGAGTTCGTTCAAGGGCGTCACTGTCGGCCCCCTTTCGGGACAGAATGCCTTCCTCGCGCCACAGACTGTATCGAACCTCCACCTCTCTGGGCGTATCACCCCCAAGACCGGGAACGACCTTGAGGTCATCGGCGAGCTCTTCACCAACTACCTCCATGCTCAGAACCAGACGCTCGCCGTTCAGGGCGAGAGCGTTCAGCCAACGGGATCGAATGCTCCGGTGGGATGGTTGAGCACGGCGTTCAAGACGCTCACCCTGGAGGTCACGCTGCCAGGCCAGAGCTTCGACATCATTCAGAGCATTGACATGGCGGACCTCGAACTGGTCATGACGGAGCAGGGCGAGGCGTTCGCGCCGCTTGCGAGCTCCAAGTACGTCCTGGCGCAGTACAAGAATCCGTTCGGGTTCTCGCTGCAGGTCGTCAAGAGTGGCGAGGACATCACACTGGGTGCGCAAGGTGCTGATGTTGCGGAGGTTCGTGTCCTCGCTTATCCTACGAAAATTACGTCTGTTGACTATGTTCTTTATAGCTCAAACTTCCACAAGAGGACGCTGTGGGCGGCGTCTCGACCGGGAACGTCGTTCCTCTCGTTCTCACATTCCAGAACCAAACCCTTCAGTCGCTCAATGACGGCGCGTTCATGAGCTTCTTCGCCGCTGTCACGGACACTTCTGGTGTCTCATTCGAGCTCAGGGGTTCTGCGGACGTCGTCGCTCGCACAACCGCCGGTGATATCCCTATCAATGCCATCCCTTTCAACGTCACTACGAGCTTGAAGGGTATCAACGGATTTGGTCATACCGCGTCCCTTAGCAATGTCTCGATCACCGGAGCAGGTACTGACAGCCATGGCGCGTACATCAGGTCGCCGCTCACCACAACGCTCAATAATCCCTCGAACGTCTCACTTGAGACTGTGGACGTCGAGCTCCCGGTATATTACAAGGACGTCTTGCTAGGCCGTGCTGTCATCGATCCGCTGAACCTTGTTCCCGGAGACAACGAACTCTCCACTGAGTTCCGCTATGCACCAAATGATGCGAACGACACGACCGCTCAAGCGTTCCTCACCGAGTTCTTGCAGACTGGCGACACGATTCCGCTCTCCATCAAAGGCGATGGTGACAGCTCGCCATTCGCATCCTTGGTTCCTGGGCTTGAGGGTGCGGGAATCACTACCAGCCTGAAGGGTCTCAACGTGCCGCCGATCGTGGCGCATATCAACGCATACATCACTCTGGACACCCTCTTCGACAATTTCATTACGATCGATTTCGACATTGCGAACCCGCTTGACACCGACATGGAGATCTCGTTCACGCAGGTCGACTCGGGAGTCAATAATGAGACCTACGCGCACTTCGACCAGCCCTTCGATTCGTTCGTCATTCCCGCACACAGCACCGCGAACTCTGGTTCCGTTCCGAACGTGCTTCTTACCCAAGGTGCGATTGCGTCGCTTGGCATCATCCCTCTAGGGGAGCTGGATGTCTTCTCCGTTGCAACCGTAAAGATCGGACCGTACACCATCCCTTGGTTGCACCTCACGACGCTCAATGTCAAGACGGATTACCACCTGTCTCTCTCTATCTCCGAGATGAAGAAGGCTGCGCAGTCGATTAGCGGGAGCAAGGCGGGTCATACACAGACGGCCTCGGTTTCGGGTAGCGCAAGCGGATCTTCGGCAGTTGCGCCTGCCAGCACGACTTACAGCAGCGATGCTTCGAGCGCGGCCTCTGTCAGTGCTCAGCCTTCGTCTACTGCTCAGTCCGACTCGTCGGGCAATTTTCCGATCGCGCCGCCGACATTGAGCGAGGCCAGCCCCAAGGCTTCCGCCAACTCTGACGCACCTCAGCCGTCTGCGTCCTCTGGTGATGGGCCTCTGTCCTCTGCCAGTGTTCCTCAATCCTCATCTTCTGCATAGTTCCTCCAAATTGAACCTCAAGGTGTGTTCTTTAACTGTCTCAGCTCACACGTTTAGTTGTCTGAAGAAGACTTTGTAGCGCGACACTAAGGGTCGCTCGTGTGTACTCTAAAATCAATATCATGAATGGACTACCCTCAACGCAATATCACGGCCCCTGTCTGTACTGTCATGTATCACGTAGCTGCACGAAAATCATCTCCACGCGTGCACTGGGCGCTTTCCCCCTCTCGCGCAGTACGGTACCGTCACGATCCCCATGTTTTTATTCTTCATCGTATAGCTCACGATACCCCTGACCCGCTGCCGACGCCTTCCTTTGCTCTTCCCCGCCGGTGTGTGTGACGATATTAATACTTTGTGTGCAATGACTACATCCTGGCCTGTTACGTACTCTCCGGACTGCAAGATGCATTTTCCCTACTCCCTACGTTTGCAACCACATCCACGAATCCACGATTTTTGTGATAGTTCAATGGGAGAAATGTTGAGCATGTGAACCGAGTGGAAAATCTCGAGCACGCCGGCCTTTTGCAGGAACGCTGGATACATTCGGGACCGTCATGCCCGGTTCCCCTGTGCAGTGCACTATGAAACCGTTCATATCTCCATTCGCATCGGTTTCTCGAAAGCTCCCCGGCCACCCCCCTCGACCAGGACCTCCGGTGGAGATACTACATAGGAGGCTACACTGCGTATCCTTCGTCTGCTTTCTGGAGCGGCTCAATACCATAAACCGTCCGAAAGGACTGTGTTCTGCAGACGCGTCATCTGTCAGAGTCGTACCCACGCTGCGCTTTCGCTGGTACAACTCACATGTCATCACAGAGGACCAGTAACAACCCCGTCTCTTTCAACCCTCGCAATTTCGGCAGCAGGATGAACGCCAGCCCGCTGTTCTTGAAGGAGGTCGGCAGCCCGAGCTCGATGACGACGCCCGTCAGCGACGGAAACTCGACCGGCTCGCGCGTGAGGTAGTCGTCGAGCGTCGGGAGGTCCCACGTCTCTAAATCTCCTAGTTCGTAGCACCATGGGGGGTCGGCGGCGAGCTCAATGGTGAGCGTGCGTAGCGTGCGCGAGGCGTATGGGAGGATAGTGGAGAAGACGGTGTAGCGAGGATGTACTGAGTAGTCGTAGAGGCTGCAAGCCGAGACCTTGATGTGGAGATGTTCCAGATTTGGGCAGGCTGCAATGCCTTCTCCTATCACCTTCCAGTCTGGTTCTGAGCGCGTGAAAGAATGTGTGTTAGTCGCGCGAGCTAGAGTCGAGATGAGGGATGGCCGCTGCATACCCTCGCCCTGCACAGAAAGGGGAGCTATATCGAGGCAGAGCTTGGCGATATTTTGGCCAATGGAGCGGATGAAGCTCAGGATGTAGGTCGCACAAAGAGGGGTTGGGCACCGGGCGGAAAAAGTTCGGAGTGATCAGGGGCAAATGAGGGCCTCGAAGAACTGATTATGAGTACTCGTTGGGCCACCGAGAACCAATTATGGCCAGACTTCGGACTGACACCCGATCGCTGAGGGGAGTGAGTGCAAGGACACCCTCTAAGGTGTCGGCTAGGGGAACATCCGCAATCTCCAGTGCATCCACGGAACAGTTTGAGAGAAGCCACCTGAGAGTGGTGCCCCACGAGTGCCTTCCCCTAGGATTTCGTATTGATAACTTTTGTACATCAGAAAAACCTGCGCAGGTCTTAGAGTGCCGAGTAAGACCTTTCAGAGCTCTAAGAGCTGCCTTGTAAGGGAATTTATAGGCGTCTACGCACCGCCACCCGTTAGCGCGCAAGATCTGTAAGAACTCGTTTAAGAGGTCGGATTGTGTCACCGACACCAGGTGCACAAAGCGTCCAAAAGCCCCCACAGCTCTCATGCATGATTGCGGGTAGCCAGGGATGCTCTCTGCCTGATTTGAAGGAGAACAGACGCCGGAAAACTGCAGGATGCAGAGCGCAAGTTGGCGGGAGGTGCCATTTAAGAGTTTTCAGCACTCAGAGATTGTCGGTTTTACTGATGTAATGCAGGTTTTACCTGCCCGGCAACTGTAGGAAAAAGGAAGTCGCGTTTGGGCGCAGTGCAAACGCGTGAGGTACTACGCGTTGCGAGCCAGACTATATATATACATGTAAACAAGACTCTGAGACAAAATATACAGTACGAGACGAAACAAGACCAGCGTGAGCACAATGTGAGCTCAATTACATAATATGAGATTCAACACACCCCCTTGAGCAAAACAGAGTGCGAACGGGAATGCGGGAAGGGTAACGAAAATAGCGTGAGAAAATACATACAAAAGATAAGTGTGTAAATGCACCCCCTAATTTGTGCAATCTACCAAGCGATAATCTCGTCTTCTTCATCTGGGCGGGGAAGATTGGCGAGGAAAGCGACATTGGCGCTCTCGGTGCCAGGGCAGTCGCGCTGATAGTGGCCCTTCTTTGAGCACTTGAAGCAGGTGATGCGCTCGAGCGGGGTGCGGGGCTTTGTGTGAGCGGCAAGGGCGGCTTCGATTTCTGGGTGAGGTGGGTTGAGGGACAATTGGCGCGACTCTTCATTAAGTAAGTGGGTGATGACATAATCAATGGTGAGCTCGCTAGGCGGGGTGGAGTCGAGATTGACGACCAGCTGAGAGTACGAATCGGGGAGGCCATTCGTGAGAATGAGGATGTGGTCTTCATCAGAGATAGAGGCGTCAATCTCCTCGAGGCGGAAGGCGGCCCGGCGGACGTCAGCGATCCACGATGTCATCGTTTGATCCGGGCGCTTAGACAAGCGCCAGAAAGCGCGCCGGTGTGCGACCCGGGTACCAAAGCCGCGGGTGCGGTGGACTCGACGGAGCTCGGTCCAGACTTCGTGAACGTCTTGTGATTGGATGTGGGCGTACTGGGTGGGCTCGATATTCAAGATAATCTCGGCGCGCGCTTCTGCGATCTTCGCACGCCAGGCACGCACAGCCTTCGTGTTATCAGAGCCGGAGGGGCGGGTTTCATCAGCAGGGGCGCTCGTAACCTCCCAGAGACCCTTGTGAACAAGGAGGGCCTCCATGCCGATAACCCATTCGGCATAGTTGTCGTCGGCGAGCTTTGCAATTGTGGGCGGTGCCATCGGGGCGGGAGCAGCGGGGAGCACGGGGCGGTCACGGTTACGGGGTCGTTGGGGTGCACGGGGTCGTCGTCGGGTCGGTCGTCGTCACGGGTCGTCAGTTCGCAGGATCGTCGAGTGGCTTCGGCCCCACTAGGCGATGCCTCGAATTATCCTTCGGGCAGAGGAGACGCGTTTGTGTAGGAAAAAGGAAGTCGCGTTTGGGCGCAGTGCAAACGCGTGAGGTACTACGCGTTGCGAGCCATGTTGAACAGGCGCTGGTTTACACAGCTTGCCTAACACAGCCGTCACAAGATATGGAACGGCACAGCCGGTTACTGCAATAACCGAGGCTGTACTACTCATGTGGTACACACACAGCTTCGCTGTGTACGCACTGCTTCTCTGTGCGACTGTGCATCCTGGGAATGTACTATATAGTACTATGTAGCCACAGATGTACAGTAGTATATATAGGGGACCTCTGTACCCCCAATCTACAGTTCAGTTCACTCGAACATCTCCTCTCATCGCTCTAACAAGCCTCTTACAACCAACAACCCTTCTAGGTGAGTTGCAGGCTATCCGCTGTCGTTGCCACCCGTGGGAGAGGCCTTTGCCCCCCGGGTTCAACAAGCCAGACTATATATATACATGTAAACAAGACTCTGAGACAAAATATACAGTACGAGACGAAACAAGACCAGCGTGAGCACAATGTGAGCTCAATTACAT